CTTTTGATGCAGCCCAGGATGGGATTGGCCTTCTGGGCTGCAGCTGCCCACTGCCTGCTCATGTCCAGCTTCTCCTCCACCAGCACCCCCAAGTCCCTTTCCTCAGGGCTGCTTTCCAATCCCTCACCCCCTAGTTTGTATTGGTGGCGAGGATTGTTCCGGCCCAGGTGCAGAACCTTGCATTTGCTCTTGTTGAACCTCATGAGGTTCACCTGGGCCCACCTCTCCAGCCTGTCCAGGTCCTTTTGGATGACATCCCATCCCTCTGGTGTATCGACAACACCACACAGCTTGGTATCGTCCGCAAACTTGCTGATGGTGCCTTTAATCTCCCTGTCTATATCATTGATAAAAATGTTAAACAGCACCGGCCCCAGCATGGACCCTTGAGGAACACCACTTGTGACTGGTTTCCATCTGGACTTTGAGACATTTTTTTTTTTTTTTAAAAAAAAAAGCAAAAGGCAAATATCTTATGTTTACTTGAATAAAACTTAATTACAATTGTCTTTCAGTAACAGAAATAACAGAACTATAGCAAAGTGGTTGGTTTGGTATAATAAGTATTTTTGAGAACTTGACTATATAACTTTCTGTAACTGTAGTTACTTAGTTCCTCACCTGTAACTCTGAAAGTTAGAGTTTCTTCTAGCTATCTAAAACCACATCTTTCTTACAGCAAAGAGACAAAAATATTCAAGAAACATAAGGAAATGCAAGCTGTTTTGGTCAGCGCTGGCAGATAATCTTCCTGCTGCTTTTCCCCTTCCCATTACCGGGACGGGCAGTGTGATAATTGAGGCAGATCAGATTTTTGCCCAGTGGTGTCTGTTGTCTCCCATCATGGTCAATGGCAGCTAACCAGGAGCAGTGGTATTTCCTCTAAACGTGCCTCCAGCAAACAACTTGTCAGGTGCTGCATCCTTAGTTGAGGACGAGCTGAGAGCTGCGGTGGCGGCTCGTGACAAGTATCTTTTGCTGGCGTCCTGGAAGCAATTGTAAAATCTAGGATTTTCATTTTATTGCTGCATCAGTGACCCCAGCGTCCTTACTCTTCTGTCACTCTCTGCCTTTGAGCATCTCACGTTTTTGTGAAGATGACAGAAGTTAGCACATCAGACTTACTAATCTTCACTCCAATTTAAGTCTGTGTGTGGGGGTCTACAGACGTCTCTAAACCAGGCTTCCTGAGCTCTGCTCGTCGGAGTCCTCAGTCAGCAGGGGGCAGCAGGACCTGCTTGTTCTGAGGCAGAAACTGTCTTTTCTCCTTATTCTTTCAGATTTCAGTTATTACTTAGAGCTGAATGCCCTCCCCACCTAATGGCAGAGCTGTAGCTGTCACATGACAGACTCTTTGCTAATTGACGAACAGATCAGGCCTCTCATCTGTTTTCTACTGCTCTGGTGTCTGATGGGTCTCCACCAGCAATTACTTCTTCTCCTTTTCCAGCTCGTTAACTGTCATTATGATGCTGTGTGAACAGTCATAAAGAGAAATGAATAGTAGTCATAAAGACTCCTCTATCTTATAATTTTCCTTTAAGCCTGAAAACTGGCAACCAAAATAGACAAAGCAACAGAAGAGCATTTCCTTCGATGTATTGAAATTCTTGGAGATTTTAGTGCGTGTATCCGGGCAGTTGGTTCTTACAGGCTTTGCAAATCCTGTAGTCACACCTGCCTGAGAGCAGGATTTACTATCCTGATGTTATGGCTGGTTTATATAAAAAAAATATTATTACGGGTCAACATAAGCGGCAGCCAATTTTAACAAGTTACTCTGATGCTCTCCCTCAAATGTTATCTGTTTCCCTTTTTGCTCAGTAGGCAGCATGGTTGGAACATTACTGCCTCGTGCAGAGTCACACGTACAGTCATGGACTAATTTAGGATGCAAGGATCTGTGGAGATCTCTGGTCCAACCCTGTGCTCAAAATAGCCAGATTGTGGTGTGAAGATCTAACGCTGAAGTGAAAAACACAGCTCCAGGTTCAGTCTTCTCTGTGTCTTACATTGAGGTAGCTCTAGGCAGTGGTAAGATCCCCATGCTGAGCAAACCCAGCTCTCTCAACCTTGGACATTCTGTGCTCCAGCACTTGACTGTCTAGGTGGCCTGTGGACAACATTTTCTCTAGTCTGTTAGTGTCTTTCTTGTACATGGGAGCCCAAACTGTTCCCAGTATGTAATTGTGCCGAATTCCCAGTGCCGAAGAGCTGTGAGAAATCCCTTCCCTTGCCTGTTGGCTGCACTCTTGCTAATACCAGAATATCTGAGTTTAAACTTTTTGTGCTTGTTTCTTAAAGAGGTTTTCTGTCAACCTTGTTTCCCTCAAGTTCCTTGAGTGTCTGTTCCTCAGAGGTGGTCTTCCATTCTGCCCCCAGGGATTCTTTGCTGGGTATCTTGCCATAGGCTCCTTACCTGGATTAACTTCAGCACGTGCAAAGGTTCCTCTGAGATCTGCTGGTTAGTGTCATATGATAGTTTTCAACTTCTTGATTGTACCTGTCTAGTTTTTCTCCCAGACCTTCACTGGAAACTTTTTCCCTCTCCTTTTAGGCTTCCTGAGAGCAGTTGGGCCAATCATAGAATTGCCCAGGCCGGAAGGGACCTCCAAAGGTCATCTAGTCCGACCTCCCCGCAGTCAGCAGGGACACCCCCAACTAGACCAGGTTGCCCAGGGCCTCGTTGAGCCTCACCTTGAATATCTCCAGGGAAGGGGCCTCAACCACCTCCCTGGGCAACCTGTTCCAGTGCTCCACCACCCTCACAGTGAAGCCCGGAGCCTCCTCTTCTCCAGGCTGAACAACCCCAGCTCCCTCAGCCTGTCCTCGTAGCAGAGGTGCTCCATCCCCCTGATCATTTTAGTGGCTCTCCTCTGGACACGCTCCACCAGGTCCATATCTTTCCTATATTGAGGGCTCCGGACCTGCACGCAGTACTGTCTCTTATGGTTCCAGTAGGAATCCTAGATCTGCTTCAGCAGTTGCATTTTCTGTCTCCTCCTCACCAAGAAAACACAATAGAGCAGACATCAGTCATTGTGAAGTTCAGCCTCTGTGAAGGCTGTGACTCGGTGCTGTCTGCTGGCTCAAGTACCTGTTTCTCTCTCTGGGTACTGGTGTCTGGACAGAAACGATCGCGTCGCCGCTCCACAGGGTGACAGCAGATGCACATGTTGACTCTCTGAGAAGAATTGAAGTGGCTTTGTTGAGACTTTGCCTCCACCAGGCGTTTTGCCATCCTTGCAGCCAGACAGTGATCACTCTCTGGGTGAGGTTCCCTGAGAGAGCGAACAAGAGAGAATAAATGAGAGAAAAATGAATTTCACTGAATTTCACTGAATTTTTTAGAGTTGGAAGGGACCATAGAGATCATCTAGTCCAACTCCCCTGCTGAAGCAGGATTGCCTAGAGCTTGTCAGAGCATGTTACTCAGGAGCATCCAGGCGGGTCTTGAAAATCTCCAAGGAAGGGGACTCCACACCCTCCCTGGGCAGCCTGTTCCAGGGCTCTGTCACCCTCACTGTGAAGAAGTTTCTCCTCATATTTGAGTGGAACCTCTTATGTTCCAACTTGTGCCTGTTGCCCCTCGTCCTAGGGGGAGAATGACTTCCCTTGACCTGCTGGCTACACTCTTCCCTATGCAACCCAAGATACCATTGGCCTTCCTTGCCGCAAGAGCACACTGTTTACTCATCGTCATTTTACTGACCACCAGGACTCCTAGATCTTTCTCTTCAGTAGTTGCCTCTAGCAGGTCCACCCCTAACCTGTAGTGGTACCTGACATTTTTCTTCCCCAGGTGCAGGACCCTACACTTTTCCCTGTTGAACCTCATGAGGTTCTTCCTTGCCCAGCCCTCCAGCCTGTCCAAGTCTCCCTGGATGGCAGCACAGCCCTCCGGGGTGTCAGCCACCCCTCCCAGTTTGGTATCATCAGCAAACTTGCTGAGGATATACTCTGTCCCCTCGTCCAGGTCACTGATGAATATGTTGAACAGCACGGGTCCAAGTATTGACCCCTGGGGGACTCCACTGGTTACAGGCTTCCAACTTGAACCTGCTCCATTAATCATTACCCTTTGAGTCCTGTCACACAGCCAGTTCTCAATCCACCTCACTGTCCCCTCATCCAGCCCATACTGCCTCAGTTTCCCAATGAGGATGTTATGGGAGACAGTGTCAAAAGCCTTGCTGAAGTCAAGGTAGATGAGAGCCCTTCAGTGCTCAGGGCTTGCACCTTTTCTCTCTAGTGTTTGTTGTGATCTGTGCCTGGTGGCTTTAGAGCAGCTCTCCAGGTATGCCTAAATCTCTGCCGGGAGGGCTGTGAAGACCACAGGGTTTCTTCTGAACTTCCTCTGGCTTTGTGTATGTTTGCACAATCCTCACACTATAGTAACTGAGCGTAAAAAACTAAGCTACCGGGCGCAGTATAGCTGCATCCCTGGGTTCCTTCCTGAATAGTCCCTTATTGATAAGCAGTTTGCCTTATACTCTGCAGTAATGTCTAGAGGCTGTGGGCAAAGCAAGTCTCCTTCCCTTTTGCACATCACGTAACAAAGCAGAAGTTTGTTGAGTTTGGCTGAGGTAACTTAAAATCAGAAAAAGTTAAAAAGAGCGCCTGATAGCTTTCTCTGGTGAGATGATTGGCTTGGTGGATGAGGGGAGATGTTGTTTATCTCAGCTTCAGTAAGGCTTTCTACACCATCACCGAAAAGTTAAAAAGAGATGTTGTTTATCTCAGCTTCAGTAAGGCTTTCTACACCATCACCCACAACATCTTCGTAGAAGAACACTGACAAAGTACAGCTGGGTGAGTGGACAGTGAGGTGGCCTGCTGAGCTCAAGGGGTGATGGTCAGTAGCAGAAAGGTCAGCTGGAGGCCAGTGGTGTCACCCAGAGACTGATACTAAGGTTAACATTGTTTTACATCTTCATTGATGACCTGGAGGATGGGACCAGGTGCACCCTCAGCAAATTTATAGATGACAAACAGCTGGGAGGACTGGTGGATGGTTGTACTGCCATTCAGAGGGACTCCACAGGCTGGAGAACTTAGCAAAGAATAATAAATATCATTAAGTTCAAGAAAAGGAAATGCCAAGTCCTGCTCCTGGGGTGAAATAATCCAATGCAACAGTATGTGCCAGGGGCCAAACATTTGGAAAGCAGTCCAGCAGAAAAAAAAATAGGATCATGGTGGACAACAAGTTGAACATAAGCTGGCAGTATGTCCTTGGGGCTAAGGTCCCCTAACATGCATTGACAGCAGGCTGTGGAAGGTGATCCTTCCCATCTGCTGGTGAGACCACATCTGGAGTACTGTGTCCCTTTCTGGGCTCACCAGTACGAGAAAGGTATGGACATACTGGGGAGAATCCAGCAAAGTGCCACAAAGATGATTTAGGTTTTGGAACGCCCCTAGGAGAAGGTGAGAGCTCTGGATTTGCTTTGTCTGGAGAAGAGAGGGCTCAGGGGTGGATCTTATCAAGATGTGTAAATACACCAAGGGGACAAATGGGTAATGGGACATTAGAAGAGGTTGGACAGAGAGCCTTGGAGTCTCTACCCTTGGGTATGCTCAGAACCCAACCAGACATGGTCCCAGAGCAACCCTGCTGGAGGGGTTGGACTAGTTTTTGTCTCCAGAAGTGCATTCCAAGCTCAGCTATTCTTTGATTATCTGAAACAGCCTCCAGATCTGACACAGGGGCTGGGGAATTTACACACAGGAATGAAAGAGGACACTGACTTAGTGCTGTTCAGTCGGATGTAGAGCCCAGAGGCACCAGACCCCAGTTGTAAGGTCTAACCATGCAGCTTCTTTGCCTTCAATCTCCTTCCTGGCTTCTTATTACAGTATGAAAAAGCCCTCCTCCGAGGCTACGTTGAGTGTTGCTCCAACCTGACGTGGTGCACCAACCCTCAGGGCTGTGATCAGATCCTCCTTAAGGATGGATTTGGCTATGGGGCAGCCTGTTCCAAGTGCTCCTGGATATCCTGCTTCAACTGCAACTTTCCAGAGGTGAGGCTGAGCTGCATCGCGGGCGACATTGCCTTGGGGTTGGGCACACACCGTTCTGCTTTCCTGACCAGCTCTCTCTTTCAGGCCCATTATCCTGCCAGCTGCAGCCACATGTCTCAGTGGGTGGATGATGATGGGTACTACGAGGGAATGACAACTGAAGCCCAAAGCAAACATCTGGCTAAGCTCATTTCGAAGCACTGCCCAAGCTGTCAGGCTCAGATAGAGAAAAATGAGGGGTGCCTGCAGTGAGTATCCAGTTTTGCTTGTTACTGGGGACAGGAGAGGGCAAAAGACACACAGTTAGGCTTATTGTGTTTGGGTTTTTTTTTTTGGCTGGGGAGTTAAGAGTTACAGCAGGTCTGGTTTATAGTTTGAGAGGAACGAGTGATCGCTTTTATTTCCCAGGAAAAGCAAAATATTCCCCAGAGTTCAGAGTTAAATGCAGTGATAGCTCTGTAGTAGAGCCCAAACTGACTTTGCAGTACCTTTTTTATAGCACACGCTTGTCTGCTCTCAGAATCCACTATAGACAGGTACAGGTGAGGGGGGTGGATATCCCAGCGCCGTCCTTTTCTTGCCTGTTCACCTATTCCTGTAACTTTAAGCAATTTTCTTTTAACTGCCTCTTTCGCATTGGCCTGGATTCCTGGCAGCTTGTTGCGCGATAGGGGAGTAGCCACTGGTTTCTGCCTTGCCTTGGCACAGCCCTTAGGGATTTGTCCCCACATGTTGTGTGTGTGTGTGTGTGTGTGCCCCCGGGGCTGTGCAGTGCCTTTCTCCGCTCCGGTGATCATACAGATCTTGCTTCAGACTATGGAATGCTTAGTTTGCCCTTCAGGTACTTGTTTAAGTTTGTTCTGTGAGATGATGCTGCCAGTTTTCCCAGTGGAGACGCAGTGACTGGGTTTAAGAATCCCCTGCTTGCCAGGAGAGGCTTTAAAAAAAAAGATGTGGAGGCAAGTGGATGGTACTGAGTGAATGGGAGTGACTGGGTGGCACGCTCAGCCCTGGGACGTAGGGGAGCACCGGGAGGAGTTGCCTGCACGCAGGGTGTTGGTGAGGATGGAGTAACTCCCATTGTTCTTCTCCTGCCCCCCAGCATGACGTGTGCCAAGTGCAATCACGGCTTCTGCTGGAGATGCCTCAAGCCCTGGAAGCCAACTCACAAGGATTATTACAACTGCTCCGCTATGGTGAGTAGGTTTGCTGTGTCCCCGTGGTTCATGACCACGTTGAGATGCTCCTGGGGAGAGGAGGAAGGTCTCTGCTCGTGCCCTTCGCTCCGGACCTGGGGGTTCTCATTGACAAGAGGCTGAACATGAGCCGGCAGTGTGCCCAGGTGGCCAAGAAAGCCAATGGCATCTTGGCTTGTATTAGAAATACCATGACCAGCAGAAGTAGGGAGGTGATTGTGCTCCTGTACTCAGCACTGGTGAGGCCACACCTGGAGTATTGTGTCCAGTTCTGGGCACCTCAATACAAGAGAGATCTGGAGGTGCTGGAGCGAGTGCAGAGGAGGGCAACGAAGCTGGTGAGGGGGCTGGAAAACAAATCATATGAAGAGCGGCTGAAGGAGCTGGGGCTGTTTAGTTTGAGGAAGAGGAGGCTGAGGGGAGACCTCATCACTCTCTACAACTACTTGAAAGGACACTGTAGAGAGGTTGGTGCTGGTCTCTTCTCACAGGTAATTAACGACAGAACGAGAGGGAACGGCTTCAAGCTCCAACAGGGGAGGTTTAGACTGAACATTAGGAAGGAATTTTTCACCCAAAGAGTGGTCGGGCATTGGAACAGGCTGCCCAGGGAGGGGGTGGAGTCACCATCCCTGGCTGTGTTTAAGGGACATTTAGATGCGGTACTGAGGGACATGGTGTAGGGGAGGACTTTGTAGAGTAGGGTGGATGGTTGGACTCGATGATCCCAAGGGTCTCTTCCAACCTGAATGATTCTATGATTCTCTGACTTCGTGCCCTTGCCAGTGATACTGAGAGGGTTGCCAAAGTCTGTTTGTGTGGGAGCCATTTCTAGGTAACCCTGGTACCTGGGGGAAATTGCTACAGGTCGCTGCCTTTCCTTTCAGGTGAGCAAAGCAGCTTGGCAGGAGAAGCGTTTCCAGGATTACAATGAGAGATGCACCTTTCATCATCACGCAAGGGTAAGACCTCCTCCTTTTCTGTGCAAATGCTGACTCTGTTGCCTCTGCCTTGGTGAGCAGGACGGTTTCTGGTGTGTCTTCACCTGAAACTGAGAAGTAGATTTTGGATCCTGGTCATTTTCCCCTTGCTCTGATGTAAGGGGTGGTTCTTCTTCTCCCAAGTAAAGTCTGTTGTGGAAACTCAGCACCAAATTTGTGGTGTTCATGTGCTCAGCCTGGTGGGACTGGAGGCTGAACTCCATCTGGAGCTGAGATACTGTAAAAGGTTGAAGCGATAGCAGAGCAGAGATGTCATAGTTGGATGCAGTTAATGCTGTCCTGTTGCCTGTATCTCCTGGGATGGCACTTGGGGATGCCAGGCAATTAATTGCCTGTGTGGAAGGTGCTATTTTTTTGATCTTGTGGAGCTTGACATTGTTTGTTGTGTTTGTTTTTTTTTTCCCCCTCCTGTGATTATTGCAGGAATTTGCCACGAGTCTGAGGAAGAGGGTTTCTTCCATCAGTGAGATGCCAAAAATTAGGACTTTGACCTTTGTTCTTGATGCCTGCAAAGCACTAGAACAGGCACGGAAGGTAAGGCTGGGGAACAGGCTTGCTGGGGTTTGGTATATATACAACAGCCATATTCATATTCATGACATAGTCAATGTCATGCCAAGAAAACATTAGCATATTCATTACATTTCTGAGAATTCATTTACATTTTGGGCATGCTTAGTTGTGCCTTCTGGTGGTCCTCACTTTGAGTGAGGGTTTTTTTTCTTCCTCAATCTTCATCTTCTTCACCTGTCCTTTGGCTCACTTTTCATGTTGGCAGAACATTCTAACTGCTTAATTGCTCATTAAAACTAATGATCTCCCTGCTACCACCTGTTTGTCAGACAATGTCCATATTTATTGCATCCCTGTCTTAGGTCACCATGTTCTCAGGGCCACACATATCCTTTCTTATCTTACTAAGTCCTTGAAACCATTTGGGCTGGTTGCTAAAATAGCTACATTTCGTCTCTAAAAGAGAATTCTCTACAGTTTAACCATTTATAAACTACATAAAATCTGCCTTAGGCGTGGAATTGGTGCAGGGATCTGTAGGGTTTTCATATACTGGGTTTGGTCAATGTGAAGAGCCCCAGTGGTGGTACTGACCTTTTGAAAGCTCTCCTGATGCTGTGTTAGAGTTAGGAAGTCCCTCTTGATGCTCATGTTAGGATTTTTTCCTTTCTTAACTTCATTTCATGAGGCGTGGGTGTTTTGGGAGCGCCGAGGTACCTGCTGCATGCCCTAATAGCCACGTTAGGAAGGATTTGCAGCGCAGCCACGGGATGTGCGCGGTAAAGCCTGCGACAGCAGAGTCCTGTGGTGGCTTCTGTCCCCTGAAACACAGGGAGGAGGTGGGAATGACCTTGGCAGCGTTGCCTTTGCAATGTGTGCCTTTTTAGTGAGGGCAGACTTGATTTTGAAAGGCGTATGTGGAACAGGGGTGTTGTCTGACCCTGTTTTGTCTTTTCGGTATGGCAGTCCCTATGTTTGCCAGGATACAGCTGTTGCTGCTGCTGCATTTTCTAGGCCATTTCTTTAAATGGACACAGTGGCCTGTTTCCTGCTGGGTGCCTGGAGGGCTTTAGGGGTCATCCAGTCACGAGAGGAGCTTCTCACTTGTTGAAATACCTTTGGCGTGGGCTCTTGGTGCTGTACAGCACCGTGCCTGCTTCCCTTTGGGCTCGGTTTGTTGCCACCTGAGTTCAACCTGGGCTGCCCAGCAATTCTGCCTGGAATTGTAGGTTCTGTGTAGGTTCTTGTGGTGGTTTGCAGGTGGGAGCTCTGGGTTATTTCAGGCTCCAGTAGGAAATAAGTACACAATTCCTGTCTAATCCTGTCAGTAGCTGTTGGCAGCCTGGTGCTGCTCTCACCTGGCGTAACAGTTCCCTGGGCTGTGGCCACAGACTAGAAGTGCTGCCAGACTCCTCCTAGCATCCTCCTAACCCTCCAAAGCCTGGAAGGGTTTGATGCTTCTCTCTTCTTGCCCACTCTGAAGCTGAAGGAGGATGCTTACCGCATGAGAACAAGTCACGCGAGGAGAGGCTGAGGGAACAGGGCATGTTTAGTTTGAAGAAGAAGAGGCTGAAGGGAGACCTCGTTGCCTTCTACAACTCCCTGACAGGAGGGTGTAGAGAGGTGGGGGTTGGCCTCCCCCAACCAAGGACAGGAGCAGAGGAAATGGTCTGAAGTTGGGGCAGGGGAGGTTTAGATGAGATACTGGGAAGAATGACTTTGCTGAGAGGGTGGTCAGGCACTGGAAGAGCCTGCCCAGGGAGGTGGTGGAGTCACCATCCCTGGAGGTATTTAAGAAACATGTAGAGGTGGCACTTCAGGCCATGCTCTAGTGCCCGAGATTGTTGGGTTGTGTCTGTGGGGTTTTTTTTTTTGTTTGTTTGGTGGTTTGTTTTTTTTTTTGTGGTTGGATCAATGTGGTCCCTTCCAACCATGAAGATTCTGTGATCTGTGCTGCTCCAGGTGCTGGCCTACTCCTGTGTGTACAGCTACTATAACCAGGACACCGAGAGCATGGATATCGTGGAACAGCAGACTGAGAGCCTTGAGCTCCACACTAATGCTCTGCAAATCCTTCTGGGTAAGTCCCACAAGGTAGAGCCCAGCATTCCCAGCCATCAGCTTCAAGGGGTGGCGACTCTGCGGCGGGGCAGTATCATGCACACCAGCCCCCAGCTGGTCTCTCCCTTCTCCCAGCCCATTTTTGCCTTCTTGATGTCATTTCGGGGAAGTCCACCGAAGCAGTTTGGCTGCTGGTGGAGACCAACGCAGCGAGGAGCAACATGGTCCCTTCTGTAAAGAGGAATGTTAGGAGCACAGGAGACCTGAGCAGCTGCCACTGCCTTCGCAATCAGAGCCAAGAGGCTTGGTCTCTGGTTAAGAGAGGGGGGGGGGGAAGCAGCGTAACTTTGTTGGTCTTAAATTGCAGAGGAAACCCTGCTGCAGTACCAGGACCTGGCCTCTTCCCTTCAGCTCCTGAAAGCAGAGCATTTCAGTGCTGGTTTGGAGTTGGTACACCAGATCAAGAGGCGGCTCTTTGCAATTCTCTGGCACTCCACCCAGGTGAGGGCCACGTGCCTGTGAGTGGCGTGCCTTGCTCTTGGGCAAACCTAGAGAGGGGCTTGATTAGCTGAGGGAGCGGCCACTCCGTGCTGTTGTGTATGTAGGGAAAGGGCTTGCAGCATAAAATGCACCCCAAATAATAGCATATTGGTATACTCCCTCTTAAAACCGTTTTTCTGTGCTACCAGGATTTCCACGTTGGGCTCCAGACTTTGGCAGATCCTGCCCAGAAAAAGGTGAAACTCTCCAATGTGCCTACTTCAGCCCCTGCCTGCGTGGGGTGAGTTTTCATAGTGGGAAGAAGTGGCTGGAGTTTTCCTCCTGTGCTTGCTGACATACATTAAGAGTTAATAACAGAGTTAATGACTTGCATCCTGTGTTGTGGTTTGAGATAACAGTGTAAGTGAGTGACATAGTGGTACGGGGAGACCAGCAAAACCTCCACTCGGTGTGCAGCCGTGGGCAAGGAACCCCCGTCACTGGCAGACCCGGTTATGGAAGTTGTTCTCCCTGGACTTTTTTTGGGGTTTCTGGGGAGAGTCTCCCTCTTTCTTCAGAGGTGCATCAGAGATGGAGGAGGTGTCTAGATGAGAGAAGCAAGAAAATGAACAGATATGGTGTGGGGGGTGGGGAATGGAAGGGTCTGGCCTTTATTTGAAGAGGGAGGGTGAGGGTGGTGTGGGACTGGGCTGTGGTTGCTGCTGGCAGCCAGGGCTCTGCTCTGATGCTCTCCTCCTCCTTGCCAGGCTGAAGCGTAGCGTCTTGTGTGACTCCCCCAACGCAGAGGAAGGTGGCAAAGAGGGTGAAGATGAGGAGTACGAGCCGCAATGGCAGGAAGATTATGACGACGACGATGACCTCGATGAAGACAACTTTCTGTTTGACGACGAGTCGGATAACCTTGATTGTGACTCCTACTTCGATGATGATGATGCTTATGATTAGACTTGGGGCCTCACCCAGCCTAGACCTCTGCCTCTATTCTGTCTAGACCACTTTGTATTAGTGTCTTTTTCCTCAAAGACAAGTGAGGGGCTCTGGGGCAGAGAGGTTTCCTCTGGGGGCTACTTAGTGTCTCCCCTTTAAGCCGTTGCTCCAGGCAGATGGGCTGTGTGACTGTGGCCACCTCTCTCAGAAAACCACCCCCCCTCCCCTTTCTCCCTTGTCTCCATTTCCTATCGAGTCAGAAAGTCACAGCCCACCTGCCAAGCGAGGGCCACTTGTTAAAGTGTCTCTGGGCACGCTGTCCCCAAGGGCTGGGCGCAGGCGAGGGTGGTACGTGCCCTGGCACCGTCTAATCCAGCCACTGTCTGGAGAGGCTGGAAATCATCCACCTGTTCACACTCAAGTCCAAGCCTCCTGCCTGGAGCTGGTGGGATTCCCCCCGGAGCCACAGGTCCCAGGTGGCTGTGGATCCCTCTAGCTGCTGGGGACAGCTTTTCTTTTGCAGTTTGTTGGGGCTTTTGTCTTCTCTGCGAGGGAGCAGGATGGGCTGCCCTGAGCAGCACAAGTTGGCAGGACTCTTTTAAGTGTATAAATGTATGCATGCACATGTTTTGTCTTCTCTGCGAGGGAGCCCTGAGCGGCACAAGTTTGCAGGACTCTTTTAAGTGTATAAATGTATGCATGCACATACACACATATCATATATATATATATATATATAGATATACGCAGAGGATGTTCAGATAATACTTTATCTTTGCAAAAAAGAAAACCCTGAGGCGCAAGGGTTGAAAAAAAGTTCTGTTAAAAAAAAAAAAAAAAGTTTTCTTCTAGCACAGGCCTCCTTGTGGTCTATGGGAAACACGGGTGTGAAGGGAGAGCGGGACGGTCTTGAGTGGGGAGGATGTGACCTGGAACTGCTCATTCCAGGGGTTACTTGTGACATGGGTGTGGGTTTGGAATCTCTTAGGCCTTGGGGATCACCTGGGAGGGATGTGGAGGATGCTGGGTGGGGACAACTGCTGGGACAGACCAGAGAGAGGAGTGATTTTTATTTTTTTTTTTTCCACTCCCCAACTCCCCGCCTCACTCCTCGTCCTGCTCAGTCCAGGAGGCTGAACCCCAGAGTCCGTCACGGTGGAATTCCTAGCCCTGCTCCCCTCATATCCTGCCCCACAGCCAGAGGGTGACACTTCTCTGGGCCCTGTCCTCAGGGCCACCATGGTTAGAGCTGTGGTGGATCTCCCCAGACAGCGTCATCTTCCTCAGGGTGACCTGTCCCTCCAGGAACAGCCTGGATTCCCCAGGTTGATAGGGGACAGAGCAGAACATCCTGGATGCCTGCGTTCCCCATGTGGAGACCCTCTACCTGGAGTTCCTCACCCACCGTCTCCTGGATCCTTGCTTATAACCTAAAAAAGTCATAAGGAGTATGAGGTCCTTCTTTCACGGACAAGATAAGTGAAAATGGAGCTCAAGCCTTGATCTCCTGCTCCAGGAGAGGCTTCTCTCCTCCCTGAGCTCCCCTTAGGACACCTGTGTTGGGGTTTGAGGGGTGCACTGTCAAACTGCCCACCTGACATTGGCCCTGGAGAAGGCCACGCTGGGAACCTGGTATCAGAACCAACAGCCCTCACGTGATAAAAAAAAAAAATCATCACCGTTTTGTTAATGGGATTTATATTGTTAATGGCAGGGATCACCGTGACGTGTGAGAGAGTGTGAGGCAGCAAAGGGGACAGCAAGAAAAAGGCAGGAAAGGCAGGGACAAGAATAAAAGAGGCACAGAGAGAGGGGAACAAGGGAGCAGGCCAGAGATGGAGAAAGAAACAGCAGGGATGGAGGAAAAGAGGCAGAAAGAAGGAGTGGGGGCAGGACAGAAAGAAAAATAAGGGTGGGGAGGAGGGTGGAGATGAACAAAACCCGGGATGGGCAGATGACAGAGAGGGATTAAAAAGAAGAGGGGCGGGGAGCAGAGGGACACAGTGAGGAACAATGGGCCAGGGAGCAGGACAGGGCAGCAGGGAACAAAACAGGGAGAGGGAGAGGAACCAGCGGGGGGAAGGGAAAACGACAGGAGGACAGAGCAACAGGGGGAAAGAGAGTCAGGGAGCAGGAGGGTGGGAGAGAGTGAGAAAAAGAGGGGGAGTGAGCAGGACAGAGTGGGAGAGACACGGCGCAAGGCAGAGGAACGGGGGAGTAAAAGAAAAGGCACAGGGAACTTTTTACAAAGAAAAAAAACAACAAAAAACCAGAACGAACCAAGAGAGTGCACAATAGAGATGGGGAAGGGGATGGGGAGCAGAGAGAACACGAGAGCAACATGAGAGACAGGACACTGGGCAGAAAGGAAGAGGAAAAACAGGATAGAAAGCTGGATATAAGGATGGAAGAAAGACAGGAAAATAAAACAGTATTTATTACACAGTCTGGCTAATTAAAATGTAAACAATCTACCAGCTTGAACAGAACTGCTTTCCATAGTGGCTTAGCCCATGTCTCATTAATTTGGCATCTGTCTCTTGGCAGGGTGTGCAGGGCTATAAAACTCACCATCGTAACACATGGAGGGAGAAACAAGCTTACAGGAGTAAGCTGCACGGATTACGTGCACATAATTCAATAAGGCTTAATCCTGGCTTCTATGATCAATTAATACTCTGATCACTAAATTTTATTTCTGCAAATTCCATGCTCCTCCATTAAAAAAAAAAAAAAAACCAACAAAAATTGCATTATCTCAGTGTTGGATCCAGGGTCGTTTGAAGATGCCGTGAACATAAGGAGGGACTTTGCTTTTCCAGGTTCTTTGGAAATCCTGCACTGACCTTCAAATTGAGCAAGAAGAGGACGAGAAAACCAGAAATCTTTACCACATGTTCCTTCAGCAGACACAGCAGGGTGAGGGGTGTGTGGGGCCGCAGGACACAGAGCTGGTCTTCAGAGTCCACGGGGAAGAAAAAGCCTCGGCTGCTTTGGTTTTCTGGCTTTTTCAAACCAACAATGAGCCCGAGTTCAGTCCCGTGCCTGTGCCACGAAGAGGGTAGAGACATTTCTGCATCACATATAACAGGTTTATCTCCTACACAGGTATGAACACGCTGCCTTCCCCCGCTGCGCTTCTCAGGGGTTGTATTTTCATTATTCGCGAATAAACGCATTCGAAGAACTTTTAACCATTAGTGACTTCAGGCACTTTTGGTTTGAAAGAAACCCAAGAAAACAGCATACAGGAGGTAATTCATTTTAATAGTCTCTGCATTTTCAATATTTGAAAGGAAAAATAATGGGGTAAGGGTAGGAGTATGCAGCCGTTACCGATAGAAGCAGCATTAGGAAGCTTCTCAATGTTGCTTTTTGGTATTTCATGGGGAAAACATCGAGCCCAAGGTTCCTCATCCCTAAGTTCTTGGGGGCTGGGGAGAGAAGGAATCTGACACTCCTAGTAAATTGCCCGAGAACCCCAGCTTACAGTTACTCAATGTCTTCTGGTCTGACAGGATGAGGCAGAGGTATAATTGATTTCTTCTCTGTATCTCTGGAGAGAGCTTTTCTCATATCTGTGGCAAAAGAAATGGTATTATAAGAAGACAACAATTACCCAAGGCCATATTAAGTGAATTCTCTATTACAATGTGGTATTTTTAAATCAAGACTTCATAGAATCACTGAATATCTCAAGTTGGAAGGGAAGGAGCCAGATCATCAAATCCAACTCCCCACTCCAGGACTACCTAAACACGTTGACCAATAGTACCATCTGGATGCTCCTTGAAGTCTGATGGGTTTGGTGCTATGACCACTTCCCTGGGCAGCCCGTTCCAGTGACAGAGCACCCTCTCTGTGAAGAACCTTTTCCTAATGTCCAATCTGAACTTCCCCTGATGCAGAGTCATTCCACTCCCTCGTGTCCTACGGCTGACCACCAGACAGAGGAGACTAGCACCTCCCCCTTGAGGGAAGCTGTAAGACTTCCATGAGGTGCCACCTCCACCTTCTCTTCTCCAGGCTAAACAAACCAAGCCACCTCAGCCACTCCTCATAAATCTTGCCCTTGAGACCCCTCACCATCTTGGTCACCCTCCTCTGGACACACTCTAGTAGTTTGATGGCCGTAATGTTGTTGAGCAGCAACGTTCTCAACTGGAATATAACACTGTATGAAACTCAACTGGATGGAAAGGAAAACAGGAGGCTAAAGGGACAAGCATATGATTTAAGGCATCTGCAATGGCAGATGTCTGTCTGTAGCCCCATTCTCAACTGGAATATAACACTGCATGAGACTCAACTGGATGGAAAGGAAACAGGAGGTTAAAGGGACAAGCATATGATTTAAGGCATCTGCAATGGCAGATGTCTGTCTGTAGCCCCTGTATTTCAGTTTCCTGCGTGTCCAAGGAACAGTACAAGAACAGGAAAGACTTACAGCATGGCCCTTTGGGGAGGATACATAAAGGAAAGAAGATCTAGAAACAGAAAGCAGCTGGTACTTCAGTTTTGTTAACAGAATTAATATTAACATAGTTGAATTTCCACCGTGTCCTTCCCTTTTAAATTGAAAATGCCACCCAATTCTCTGCCACTGTTGACCACTGACACTTGTAAAATTGTAGTCAGACCTCTGAGAAAAAGTTTCAAGTCCCTGTTACGAGATGAAGAAAGAGCTGCCAATCCCTCCACCAATAACAGTAGCAAAAACCCAGCCGCTGGGCACTGGCATTCCTCAGAAAGAAAAATCTGATAAGAGACTGCATTTTAATTTTCATCTTATCTACAGGATAAATGTCTTTGTACTTAATAATTTTTTCCTGTTTCGTAGTTTGTTTTGCCACAGATGCTACAAAATGTGTACATTGCAAGATTAAGTTTTCTAACTGTTGTAATATTTGGTAGGAAAAGCTACCTAAAGGGATATGCAAAAATCCCATTCTTCAACAACTATCCGAAATTGCTTCACGTTAAAAAAAACCAAAAAACCACACCACCTTCACACAAAGAGGCCCAGGAACCCTTAATTTGAGAATCTTTCCATTGAACTCGAGACAGAACAAGTACTTACCATAAGCATCTTCATCTGGCTCCCCGCTGCTGGCAGAGTAGTACTCCAACACCGTGCGGTACACGCTGTAGCCCAGCTGCTTGTACATATTTACCGCAACCTGGTTCGATACCCTCACAAAGAGATCGACGAAAAATCCACCCTTTCTTTGAAAAAAATATCACAAACAACAACAACAACAAAAAAAACCCCAGTAAGGAATAGTAGGTGAACCTGTAATCAAACCAAGGGCAGACCTTGGGCACATGAAGGACAGGGAGGTGATCCAGGACACCCAACATGGCTTTACTAGGGGCAGGTCCTGCCTGACTAACCTAGTGGCCTTCTATGATAAAGTGACTTGGGCAGTAGACAAGGGGCAACCTATGGATGTGATCTATCTGGATTTCTGTAAGGCCTTTGACACGGTCCCCCACAACATCCTGATTGCCAAATTGGAGGGGTACGGATTTGATGGGTGGACTGTTCAGTGGAGAAGGAACTGGCTGGATGGTCGCATCCAGAGGGTGGTACTCAATGGCTCAAAGTCCAGATGGAAACCAGTCACAAGTGGTGTTCCTCAAGGGTCCATGCTGGGACCGGTGCTGTTTAACATTTTTATCAATGATATAGACAGGGAGATTAAAGGCACCATCAGCAAGTTTGCGGACGATACCAAGCTGTGTGGTGTTGTCCATACACCAGAGGGATGGGATGTCATCCAAAGGGACCTGGACAGGCTGGAGAGGTGGGCCCAGGTGAACCTCATGAGGTTCAACAAGAGCAAGTGCAAGGTTCTGCACCTGGGCCGGAACAATCCTCACCACCAATACAAACTTCCAGAGAAAGGCCAAGAAAATGATCAGGGGGTTGGAGCACCTCTGCTACGAGGACAGGCTGAGGGAGCTGGGGTTGTTCAGCCTGGAGAAGAGGAGGCTCCAGGGAGACCTAATAGCAGCCTTCCAGTACCTGAGGGGAGCCTAGAGGAAGGCCGGGGAGAGCCTGTTTAGAAAGGCCTGTAGTGACAGGACGAGGGGCAATGGCTTCAAGCTGGAGGGGAACAGCTTTAGACTGGAGATGAGGAGAGGGTTCTTCACTGTGAGGGTGGTGGAGCACTGGAACAGGTTGCCCAGGGAGGTGGTTGAGGCCCCATTCCTGGAGATATTCAAGGTGAGGCTCGACGAGGCCCTGGGCAACCTGGTCTAGTTGGGGGTGTCCCTGCTGACTGCGGGGGGTCGGACTAGATGACCTTTGGAGGTCCCTTCCGGCCTGGGCAATTCTATGATTTGGGAAGCTAATCAAACACTTTTCACACTGTAATAAGCGATGCGCTCCTTGACTGAGGGACAAATCCACTACAGGCACAAATTGCTATTTATTTTTCCCAACCACTCTTTTACACCAGCCAGAATTATGAACAGAAAGAACAGGACAAGCTAAACACTCACACACGCCTCATATCCATAGGAATTTTTTTTAAAAGAATAAATTCACATTTTAAATGGCATTGGCTTAGGGACTGCCTCCTTCAAAGTGCACGTGAGGGAGGGGGAATCAGTCACAAAATTCAGTTGCCCAACAGGAGACAGCCCTTCTCCCCACAAGGTCAATTTTTCAAAAAGTACTATTTTCCGATTTTACCACCTACAACGGGGTTACCCTACCAGCACGATTTGGGGACATTTTCCCCTGTGTTCATTTGATGCTAAATTAGATTTTCTGCAGGTGCTAGTCACCAAGCACGAGATGGGAAGAGCCACCCTCTGCTGTACACCAGACTGTGCCCGAGGGAATCGCACGAAGCCCACGATTACTGAACTAGTACATCAGACGGATGTTTTGCAAAGTTCTTTTCCTCTCAAGAAAAGGACCTTCCATACAGTCCCTCTATTGGAATTCAGGCTACTTCCTATTCATTCTGGCAAGGCAGCTTTCAGAGAAACCCTGAGATTTCAAACAGCCAAGCAACACGTGGAATTCTTTCCAGCTACGGGGAATTTCAGCAAATCAGAACACAACGTAAGTAATATTTTGGGTCTGCTTCACGCAACTCAAATATCGAAGCCACAGATGGGTGTCTGCAGAAAGATTACTTGAAAAGGTAAACACAAAGATAAGCACAGTACTTACTTTTCTGAAATTTCTTCCAGTAGTTCCATCAATTTAGCGGCCAAACCCAGCCGTCGAAATTCGGGTGCGACAGAGAGAGCTGTAACGTGGCCGTGCCATTCCTCCCGAGCCACAGAGCCTTCTGCTTTACCCATTACTGTGAACACACAGAGCATCAGAGCAGTAGTGCCTCTGGAATAACACAGCACCCACAGCTAAACACCTTGACAAGTCAGGAACCAAGCAGTGTATGAACAAAGATCGCAACGACTGTGGGTGAAGGCTCAGAGAGGGGTATCCACATTATCGCTCTGCCATTCAGCAACCCCTAAAAACGTCACTTCGCTCGAGTACTACAGTAAAAAACCACAATATTTTTTGCAAATTCATTGTCTGAGGCATGACTTCCAAATGTAAATCTTGAGCAAAGTCTCGTGAGTCTTTAACTGAGTGGAATTCAGGAACAGACTAAAATAATGGAGGAGGAAAGGAGGGCGAGAAGGCCAAAACTAACTCACCAACCTTTGTCAGTGTCAATGGAAGGCTGACACCCTACAAACGTGGTATGTTTAAGGGAAAAAAAAAAAGAAAAAGAAAAAAAAAAGGGAGGGTGTGTTGTTTTGGGTGGGCTTCTTTGTAGTTCCTCTCCTTTCTACACATCGCCAAAACCAGTGTTAGAATCACAGAATCACAGAATTGTAGTGGTTGGAAGGGACCTCAGAGATCATCGAGTCCAACCACAAAAAAAAAACAACAAAAAAACCCAACAACAACAAAACAAAACAAAACAAAACAAACAAACAAAAAACCAGCACCCACCACCTAGACACACAACAACAACCACCAAACCAAAAACCATCACCCACCCACACAGCACCCCACCACAAACCAATAATCTTGGGCACTAGAGCATGCCCTGAAGAACCATGTCTACACGTTTCTTAAATACCTCCAGGGATGGTGACTCCACCACCTCCCTGGGCAGCCCATTCCAATGCTGGATAACCCTTTCAGTAAAGAAATGTTTCCTAATATCCAACCTGAATAGTTAGTTCCCTAATGAATATTCACACTTCCACATGGTACTTTTATAAACATCAATCACTACTAATTACACTGAATACAGCTACTGATGCAGTAGCTATAGAGAAACCTTTTGTACAGCAAACACTTTAAGATTTACTACGTTAAACACTTTATTTCCCTGCAAAATATTTCCCTTTATTTGCCCATCCCTGCCAAGACACATATTCTACCCCTACTCTCCCCTCATGCCAAAAAAAAAAAACTCTGGAAGAAATAAACAGACCAACAACCCTACTTGGAGTGATTTCTGAGAAAATATAGTGATTTCTGAGAAAATATTCCACAGCCTATAAGGAAATGACATCCAGAGCTTTCGCTTATAGGACAATGCAAAACCCAACCCCAGGCTTTTTACTTACTGGTGACTGGCAGGGGGTGAGGTCAGAGCTGAGCGCAGGTATTTAACTCCAGGGTTACAGAAATGCTGGCACAAATACCTCTGCCTGTATAAACCCTGGGCGGGGGTTATGAGCCCCCCAGACTCCTTGCCAGGTGAGAAATGTCAAACTCAAGACTACTGCTGGGAGTCCTACCTCATACCCTTAGACACTGATGAAACGGGAAGATGGCATCTAATGCTCCTCTTCCCTGTTGGGTGTCTGGACGGATCATAGAGTGGTTTGGGTCAGAAGGGACCTTAAAGATCACAGAATCTTCATGGTTGGAAGGGACCCCTGAGATCATTAAGTCCAACTACAAAAAAAACCCAACAACAAAAACCCCCAAAACCCCACAAACAGACACAACCCAACAATCTCGGGCGCTAGGGCATGCCCTGAAGTGCCACGTCTACATGTTTCTTCAATCCCTCCAGGGATGGTGACTCCACCACCTCCCTGGGCAGGCTCTTCCAGGGCCTGACCACCCTCTCAGCAAAGTCGTTCTTCCCAATATCTCATCTAAACCTCCCCTGCCCCAACTTCAGACCATTTCCTCTGCTCCTGTCCTTATTCCCTTGGGAGAAGAGGCCAACCCCAACCTCTCCCTTTCAGGGAGTTGTAGAGGGCAATGAGGTCTCCCCTCAGCCTCCTCTTCTCCAAACTAAACATGCCCAGCTCCCTCAGCCTCTCCTCGTAGGACTTGTTCTCCAGACCCCTCCCCAGCTGGGTGGCTCTCCTCTGGACATGCTCCAGCAGCTCAATGTCCTTCCTGTGGTGAGGGGCCCAGAACTTAACACAGCCCTTGAGGTGAGGCCTCACTAGTGCCCAGGACAGAGGCACCATCACCGCCCTATCATTGAGATCATCAAGTTCCAACCCCCCTGTCCTGGGCAGGGACACCTCCCACCAGAGCAGGTTGCTCCAAGCCCCATCCAGCCTGGCCTTGAACCCCTCCAGGGATGGGGCAGCCACAGCTTCTCTGGGCAACCTCTTCCAGTGCCTCACCACCCTCAGAGTGAAAAATGTCTTCCTGAGATCGACACTAAATCTGCCCTCTTTGGTGGGAGGAGTAAGGAAAGCTCCTGGGTTACAAATCCCCCAGCGGAGGCCCGACGGGGGCCGGAGCACTCACTGTAGCCCATCAGCTCCCCGCCGGGCGCCTCGGCGACGATGAAGTACTCGGGCCAGTGGGCCAGGTACTGCAGGTAGAAGGGGATCCCATACTGGGGCGGCCGGGTTAAGGACCAAGCCGTCTCCGCCGGGTCCCCCGCCTCCTCCCTCCCTCTCTCCCTCCCTCCCCGGTGGGAAGGATACGGTCTCCGTCAGCGGGTCCAGGTTGCTGCGGGAGGAGAATGAAGGCTCAGCACCCGCCTGGGCCCGGCCGGGGGGCGGCGGCTGAGGGAAGGGGGGGAGCCGCTTGGTGCCCGGCCCCGGGCCTAAGGCAGCAGGAGGGGCTGAGGAGGGGGGATAAGGAGGAGGAGAGGGAAGGCGCTCACATGTTGTTGAAGCGGAAAAGGTCGTCGCAGGTGAAGGCGCGGAGCGTCGTCATGAGGAGGCTGTTGCTGCCGCTGGGCCCGGCACCGGTAACGCCGACCAGGAAGCGCTCCCGCCGCTAAGCGTCACTTCCGCCGACCAGGACCGGAAGCGGAAGGAGAGCGCTCCCCCGCCAACTTCCGGGCTGTGCGGCCGGGGCGGAGCGGGGAGCGACGGGGCCGCAGCGCCCCCGGGGGGCCGGGGGGGGGGGTTAAATCGGACTCATCAACCTGCCAGTTTGCACAGGGCAGGGGTTGCGCTCTCTTAGTTTTCTGTAATTATAGAGAGGGGCTCCCCCCGGTGCAACTCCGGCGGAGAAAGGAGCGCTGTAGGCCCGGCCGGGATAGAGCCCTTCAGAGGGAAAAAAATAAGAGAAACAACTTCTTGATGTCGTTTCCCAGTGTTAAGTCTGACTTAAGCTGCTGCCGGCGGCGGTGCTTTGTGATTTTGCAGCGCATACTTTTTGCAAATTCACAGACAATCCCTCAAACGTAGCATTAACTTCTCTGTTAAGCTGCTCTTAGTACAAAGATTCAGGGATTTATTACCTCCAAGCTTTTCTTCCTTTAGCCTTCCCAGTTACTTCTCTGTTTCAAAAAGAGGGAGTAATAAATAGAGACTACCCCAACTATCAGGGTTTTTTCCTTGCTTTTCAGCCTTGCGTAACATCACACAAAATCAGAAGATGGAATAGCTTATTTTTACAAGTCCAAATCCCTTCCAAAAGTCTTTGCATCATCTGTTTCCTGGCATTATGAGAAGTGAGAAGTGTTTTGCACGGCACAGGGAGTAAAATGTTCTCATTTTGGAAAGAAACAATTGCACAAGCATAGACAGCGGAATCATCTTGAGGTGGTTTGGGCACGCGTTTCCCTTTTTGTTACTCGGAGTTTCTTAATATTTTGCCTTTCTGCCCCAGTCCTTCCGTTCCCTAGCAGAGCCCTCATCATGTAAAAATGGGGGAATTTTCTTTGTTGCTCGATGTCAGCCTGAACTTGGCGATAAATGGTTCAGCAGTCGAGATACTCACCTGCTGACTCTTCAGGTAAAGCACACTAACTAGATAATAATGGTACTGCATCCTTCCTTTGCAAAGACTTTAAAGTGGGCTGAGCACATGGAAAGCAGCAGCAGCAGAGTCTACAGATACACAAAAACGTTAAAAGTGTGAACCATCTCTTAAAAAAAAAAAAATAAAAAAAATATATAAAAAAACCCACCGCCCCAAAAACCACAGCAGACAACGTCCCACACGATAGTTCAGTATTACAATGTATTATTATGTGCAAAACTCACCATTTACAAAACGAAATACAAACATGTGCCAGGGGTTTCAGATACATGGCAAACTGACAAAAATTGCTACAAAATCTCCGTATGTACAATACACATGCTGCCCACCACGTTTTTGCAACCATCTGCCTTGCCTTTAACGCTGCTCACGCTGGGGTTGGGGAGAACCCCAAACCCCTCTAAAGAAAATAGCCCTAATTGGCCTAAATCGGGTCCAGAGCGTCACCCAGAGCATCAGTTACCTTGGACTCAGCTACAGAAGAGACACGTTGAATGCCATTTTAATCTGACTCTCACACCTCACCTACTGAGTAACTTAAGAACCATCAAACTCTACACCACCACCTTCAGTCCAAGATACATTTTGATGTTGGTGACAAACTATACAAAATAGTGTTCTCCTTCACCTTCCTGATGTATTTAACCCTAACACAAATAGTGCCTGGGATGGGTGCTGTCAAATCCCTCCGCAAATCTTAGTGTTCTCCTTCACCTTACTGATGTATTTAACCCCAACACAAATAGTGCCTGGGATGGGTGCTGTCAAATCCCTCCGCAAATCTACAGTACTGCTTTACATCAAAGTTCTCTACCAACCTCCTTTGCTTATTTTCTTGCAAGGAGCCTGAACCAGCAGACTAACGCATTTTAATCCTAAATTAGGTTCTCTACATTCTTTCTCTGTCCCTTCTCTACATCCTTTTCTTTTCAATTTCCTCTTCCAACCCCCTAGTTCTGTCTAAAAGAATGCATATAAACGATAATCCAGATAACAGTACATCAAGTTCAGATAAAGGCACTGAAATTGCCAGTGCCAATGTTACAATCTCCTTATAGGTAACAGAAGATTCATAAGAACTCTCCTGTAACGGTAAAAGAAGAGAAACCAGAGACTTTTAATGCAATACTCTAAAACCAGCAAGAGATTTATTCTTGTATATTAAATGTTAAAATCACATGCATAATTATAGAATACTTTATAGTTAAAAAAATATTTCAAAAACCAACCCTGACAGTTTACCTGCAACTGCTATAAAATTTCTATGATATATATATATAAAAACATGGCGATTTTCTGTAATCAAAAAAATTAGGAAAGGATGCAATCATCCAGGTAATTATGAGTTAACTGATGCCCTGCATCGGACAGTCTTGTCAAACTCATGCTGGTGAAACTGAGCTCATACCAGCCAGTTTACTGAAACACTTGTCTAGCGTACATCTATTTAAATCAAAATTACATTTGGCTAAAGGATGAGTGTAAGAAAATATATTTTTTTTTTTTTTTTTTGCACACTACAGCAAAAGACCTGCAGAGAACCACAGTATAAAAATGCTTCAAAAAGAGTCTGTGGTACAAGAGATTCAGCCCCAGGGGCCGTTTACTCAAACACGCTGGTGGAATATTCCGCGTAACTGGCCATGTGCATGTTTTTACGTGGGTTTTTGTGAGCGATGCTACAAGTGTCTGCGCGTGTTTTACTAGGCATTTGTGGTTTAAGACCTGTTTGAGCTCCTAAGGAAGGCAGCCAGCAACGATGTTCTCAACAAGTTAACTGGGAAGAGAAACGAAACGACGAGTTGCTGGTTTTAAGCAGCCGAGTCGTCGTTGTTTTGAAAAATGGCACCGTACGGATCGCTGTTAATGCGCTTGTAGACAAAGTGGAAGACCTGGGGTTGCGGTCGGCTGTGCAACTCTGCCTTAATTTTCTGGGGGTAGGTATCCTCTGTCAGTTGCTGCCAGGTGTCATCCACAAAGAGAAACAGGCTATATTCTTCTGGATTGTCCACTTTAAACTTTTCAGCGCAAAGCTGACATACGTCTTCGGTAGTGATGTATGGTCTTACTAGTAAGGTCTTCCCTGTACATCCACTGTTAACTTCCTGGAATGCAACGCGAAGGTAGTTCTGTAGAATGAGAAAACAGACATCAGAAACTCAAAACACCAAAACTCATCCTCTGAGAACTGAAGAGTCAGCAACAAAAAGCAAGCCTCTCTGTGCTTTGTCTTTTTTTTTTTTAATTAAGACTTAGAGGGATACAGAAAGAAAATTTACTCTGCAACAATAGAGTAAATCCGTATGATCTTGAGGCAAAAGCTAGATCTTTTTTTTTCTCTCTGTTGCAATTAACACATGCCCACTGATAACATGTGTACATTCTAAACGTGCCCTACAAGGAAATGCAGTTCTGCCTTTCAAAAAGCATTTGAAAATAAATATAAAAATGTAAAAATTACAAAAAAATAAATAATGAAATAAATGCAGCAATTAGGAGGGGGAAAAAAACCCAACTCACAAAACACTTTTGCACACATGAACAAAGCAGCCTGCTGTCATGTGCTCCCCCCCCCCAGAAAAAAAAAGGAAATAAACTGCAATTAAATACTAAAAAGCAGTAAAATTAAAGGAGGTGGAAAAAAATGACAATGAGGAAAAAAAAGCTTATTGACTGAGCTGGGATTTTGTAAGCTAAATAAATTAAGCATGCTAAATCACGATGCTGAAAAGTAGTACTTTACAAACACAAGCTGTTAAAAGCTAAGAGTGAGAAAACTTAAGTTCCAAAGAGCACTCTTCTTTTTAATAAAGTACTTTTGGATAGCTTGCAGATTGAAACACTGACACTTTGCAACAGCGTTGAAACCATTGGGACTGAACCTGACCGAATAGAACTAATCTATTTTTGTTACCCAGAGTGCAGAAATTATTACAAAGAATCAGCCCTAGATAAGGCAAAACACACTACAGTTTTAATTTCTAATTTCATTAACACAGAGAAGACCTGTTTTTAAATGCATGTGTTTTTAGCTGGACAGGGCCGCTTCAAAGGAGAGTGCGAAGTCTGTGCAAATGCCTGTAACTCATACACTAAGTATCAGGGTTATTTAGAGAGTATAAAAAGTTGTATTTAATCATCATCAAAATGTGGGATTTTTTGCTTTTCCATCCTCATGAGGGAGGGAGGATGGAGGAGGAAGGCTTTCTGGGGCCTAAAAGCTGAGAAGGCTGCGTCACAGGGCCGCATCCCATCCTGGTTCAACGTGGGGAAGGTGCTTCATTTCAGGACTGCAGGAAGGTGGAGACAGGATTTGAGGAAACCGGCATTCTTAGCGGGCAGCAAAATGCTTCAATTTGTGCCAAGTTGTGTGATCTTACAGATTCGAGGCTCTCTTTCAAAAAAAAAAAGAAAAAAAAAAAAAAAAAAAAAAAAAAAAAAAAGAGACAAACGAAGGAGAAGCCTCGGACACACTCGGTGCCAGCTCTTCCCCCACATCTTCCTGCATCCAGCAGTACAATTAGCATGGCTGAAGTTCATTTGCTGAGGAAGAGAAGGTGAAATAGAGTGCAAGATCCCAACGAAAGAATCTTCTGTCCTTTAGTCAGCCAGCAGAAATATGAGGTGATGAATTTCCCTATGAAAAGTGTCCTGTTTTGCTAGAAAAAACCCAAAGACTCAAGCTACTTGAACCTGACACCTAACTACTGGTAAGCAGGATGTGGAATGGATCCCAGTAAGATGGACCAGATTTGTCCACTGGCCATAGGTTGGAATTTCTGTTAAACTAGTTCTCCTCTTCCTAATTGTGGAAGATTGCTTCTTTTTCCAGCTCCTTCCTGTTCAGCATTGTGCTGTAGTCATTTGTGTGGACACCGATAAAGCAGAAGGAGCCCCAACTGAAACATTTCATTATCTCCTGATGTCCCCACACCTTCATTTCTCAAGCTCTTAACTACATCGTATCTAATTGATGATGGTTGTCATTAGCCTCTCTGACAGCTTTGCGCTGTGGTATGAAGTGTAAAGCAGCTGAACACAAAGGGGTAAATCCTTTCTTCTCGATTCCAACATCCTCCTGGCTTCAGTCCACAAGCTGATGCATCTGAACAGACAATCAACAGCACACTATAGGAAAGACACGCAGGCCTGGTTTTAAAAGATGATGAAGTAATGCTGGCTGCATTGTTACTCTTCAGTTGAAGTTACTGCCCTACTCTGGAAGAGCAGCAAGAAATGGAGAGGAGGGAAAAAACACAAACAAACATGAAGACAACATCCATATATAGAACTCTACTCCTTGCTTAAACTTTAAAGCTGTAGGCAAGCTTTTCTCCCTCTCCTCTCTATTGCCTGCTGCCACCATTAGCTACTGGGGAGTTGTGCCCGTTTATACCACTGGAAATCTGGATTTGTTCTTTTTACCAGTAAAGCACACAAAGGAGCTGATTTTAAGATACGATTCGGTTTGTCCTTGCTCTGCATGACTTAAATAGAAGGGAGGGTGGGAAAACTCCATTATTCAGTGTCTTCTTTAGACCATCATTAATCAAACTCCATTATCAAGTGCAAAGACTTCAAAACTGAGGCAAATTTGGCAGCCATATTCTCAGCATTGCTTCACTCCACTTACCTCGGGGCCCCAAGGGAATCATTATGAATCATACCTCTCAAATGGGGATTTCCAACAAAACAATCAACCCCTATTTTTTTTTTTTTTTTCTGTAGCCCTAAGCTCTACCTGAAAATCATCGACTGAAGGTATCGTCCTGTTAGTTGTCCTCCTCTTGTGCCATTGCCGGAGAGTATCTCTGGCTTCTGAACTTAGCAGTCGGGCAGCTTGTTCTTCTTGGAAGTTCTTGATCAGTGAAAGTGCTCCATAAGCGCTTGTCAAGTAATAACCTCCTGTGAAGGACAGCAAAGGAAGAACTTCTCAGGGTGGTCACAAGCACACCACGCTCGTTCCAACCGGTCACCACAGTCAGAAGCACAAACACAATTTTTTAAACATGTATATACATACACACACATAGAAATATATGAGAGTCCCTGTAGTTTATTGCTGAAATATCTACACGTGAGGAAGAACAGCTCACTGGCCTGCAAAATACTGGATGGTGTGTTCTCAAGCTGCTAAGAGACATGCAGTGCTTGCACGTGCTCCATATTACCAAGTGGTGCAATAGTGTCTAACTGTGGGTCCACTACTGCTGGGGATAGCTGGTTACTTAAAGGACTGGTGTCGCTCCTTTACTCCTGAGTGTTTTTACAAAGTTGAAACATGAGTTTTCTTCTAAACAACTTCCAAACAGTGATTTGTTTTCTCCCCGACCTTCAAAGCATGGATGAAATAAACAAAGTAAAAGACAACCTACCGCTGTCCGGGAGCTTCAAAGCAAGCACCCTTAGTGGCCATAAAGCAATGGCTGTGGGTGCAATGTGTACCCTGGAAGCACCCCAAAGAGTTTGCTTTTGTTTTTAAAAGGAAGACTCTGTCACCTTTTTAGCATTCCCCATGAAGTCCAACTAGTTCAGGAGGTGATATGTACAGTTCTACATAGTTCACCCTTATTACACGAGTGGAGAACAAATTAAAGCCACAACAGTTGCCGATGTATAAAAGAAGCTGCAGGTCATAAAGAAAAAGGAACCTCAACAAGAAGCAAGTCCTCCACAACAAGGAGAAACAAAACACATGCTGTCTCTTCTCTCTCGTGCTTGCTTTTTTTTTTTTTCCCCCCTTCTTTTTTTAAGTAAACTATTTGAGTGGGAGTGTCCAATTAAGAGGCAGCACAGTCTATTCATGGAGTCATTCAAAGAGACATTCTATGCTCACAGTAGTGTTTTCTGAATTACTGATAGCATCCCCTTGGCTTTTCGCTTTGCAAAAAAGTTTCATGCATAAAACATGCAAGACCCCATGAGACGAGTTGGACAACGCGTTACATTTGAACTGCACAACCCCAAAGCACTGAACAATTTTTCCTGCACAGTAAAGTTCAACTGGTGCCAAAGACAGGGCCAGCCAACGGATGGCCTTCTTTTGCTGCGTTAAAAAACAACCCGACTTAATAGCCCAGTAAACGTTTCTGCCTTTCAAGCATTGTTAATGATCTCCAGCTTCACATCTCAAGAATGTTCCGTGCTAAGATTCCTGAACAATGCACTAGAGGATGCTCTGTACACAAAGCAGGGAACAGACTCGTGCCAAATGGGAGGAATTCTGGCACGGTTCTCTCATGCATACCGTAAGAGGATACAGCAATTTCAGCAAGCCAAGAGATAGCAGGAATGGAAAACATACACATATCAACTCACAGATGAGCTTGGTCGCAAGAACCTTTAAACTTCCTCATAAACCAGTAGATTCTGGGGGCCTACCAAGGGCTTGCAGAACACCTCTTTGTTAAAAACACCACCATGAAAACGGAAAGGAGGGAAATTTCCCCACGTCTAGCGGACTTCAGCCATCATTCAAGAGTGCCTTAGGAAACTTATTCCTAGGGCTCATAGGCTTGGAGAATACCTCTTTGTTAAAAACACCACCATGAAAACGGAAAGGAGGGAAATTTCCCCACGTCTAGCGGACTTCAGCCATCATTCAAGAGTGCCTTAGGAAACTTATTCCTAGGGCTCATAAAAACACTTTGTGAGAGGTAAATATTGGGAATTGAAGATCATTAAGAGGGACAGTATTCTCAAAAGCACTTCCCCCAGAAGGGCAGAAATTCCCCTAGAAGTTTTTACAAAGCACCTAACCCAAGTCCCACTACGTGTCTTACGATTTAACTGAATGCTGCAGCCCTATAAATATTCTCAGGATATTTTCAGGCACAGAAGGATATCCACATTTGGCATCTGCACAGCGTGTTTGCTTGCTAAGTCATGATGCCCCCCCCTTCTTGGTTAAAAACAATGTATTCCCTCATAAGGTAGCATACATCAATAGATTCCCATGTCACTCAGGAAGCTAACTATCTTCCTCTTACTTGAAGGTGGAACTAATTATGAAATTCTCTTGTTACACTGCTGACATTTCTGAATTTAGGACTCCCCTTGAAAGAACTTCTCCTCAAGGTTAACAGCAACCGTGCTGTGAGGAAGAACCCTCTTTCCCTAGTCCTTCACTCAATGACGATACAAATAAATAAAGAGATTACCTTCTCCGTGCAGCAAAGATGGATCCAGCAATTCCATCATGTATTCGATTTCAGTATCCAGCTCCAGCATATCGCACTGGGCTAGTACATAGGTCAACACAGGCAAGAAGTCATCTGCTCCATACAGCCTCCCTGGGTTGAAGGAAACACAGACAGTGAGACACAAACCACACCCTTTAACCAGTTCCAGCGTTTGAAAGGAAAGCATTATTTTGCTGCCTTCACTGACCCAATACATTTGTATGACTCTAGAGTCTCCTGTTACCAATGTGCAGCGAACAGAAGGTCCTCTGACACTCGTTGGCCAGGAGAACACCACCAGCTTCATCCTGTACTTCCAACGAGCACAAATGTGATGATGCACACCTTGAGGCCTGTTTAAAGTTTAAAGACTGGGCTCGCCTTGGCGGCTGCTCAGCTGGTGAACTCACAAAAGGCTGCCACACCAGTGTGGCCTGACCTCCACCTGCACCTCTACCACTGGCCAAGAGATGATAAGTATTTTCTTTACACATGCAGGGATGACATCCACTTTCTGGATGGATCCAGCCGCAAATACCGGTTTCTGAGTTTGAATCCCAGAAGAAGCCTGACTATAAAAGCCTATTAGATCTGGCATGAAAACTCAGCTCATTTCCTTGACAGAGCATCGTTAAAAACATCAGCGAGCAAAGGCTTGTCTCATTCCCAACGAGCTGGTGAAGCATCACTGGCGATGGCAGCACACAGAGACTATGCCCTACCTAGGTCTGTCTGTGCTTCTATCACTTTTATTGCATTTCAACTTTCTGCTTAGAAAATACCATGTGGCTAAATCTCTGGGTCTGGCCAAACTGTGTTCATTGCAGAACTATAGAATCATAGAATTTCCCAGGCCGGAAGGTCATCTAGTCTGACCCCCCCGCAGTCAGCAGGGACACCCCCAACTAGACCAGGTTGCCCAGGGCCTCATCGAGCCTCACCTTGAATATCTCCAGGGATGGGGCCTCAACCACCTCCCTGGGCAACCTGTTCCAGTGCTCCACCACCCTCACAGTGAAGAACCCTCTCCTCATCTCCAGTCTAAATCTGTTCCCCTCCAGCTTGAAGCCATTGCCCCTCGTCCTGTCACTGCAGGCCTTTCTAAACAGGTTCTCCCCAGCCTTCCCGTAGGCTCCCTTCAGGTACTGGAAGGCTGCTATTAGGTCTCCCCGGAGCCTCCTCTTCTCCAGGCTGAACAACCCCAGCTCCCTCAGCCTGTCCTCGCAGCAGAGGTGCTCCAACCCCCTGATCATCCTTGTGGCCCTCCTCTGGACCCGCTCCATCAGGTCCATGTCCTTCTTGTATTGAGGGCTCCAGACCTGCACACAATACTCCAGGTGAGGTCTCACCAGAGCAGAGTAAAGTGGCAGAATCCCCTCTCTGGACCTGCTGGCAACGCAGCTTTTGATGCAGCCCAGGATGGGATTGGCCTTCTGGGCTGCAGCTGCACACTGCCTGCTCATGTCCAGCTTCTCATCCACCAGCACCCCCAAGTCCCTTTCCTCAGTGCTGCTTTCTAATACCTCACCCCCTAGCCTGTACTGATGACAGCATGAACTAGCATGATTCTCACTTCAAACCACCAAAAGCAAGAGCCAGCTTAAGCCGTCCAGGTGACCGAAGGGCTGGTATCTACAGTTAGACCAGCTAAGGCATACCCTGCAGGTACCACACTGCTGGCTGGCTGGAGTACATGACAAAGCAGATACTCGAAACAGCTGCTGGCTTAATACCATGTTTTACAAACTTCAAATGACAAACCAAGACAACCCAAGGAGCACGTGCCACTTCTTAGCTCAAGCCCCTCAGTGCAACAATTAACTAGCAGCAGCCTCTCAGTCTCGCTGGGACTGTTTAGTTTGAGGAAGAGGAGGCTGAGGGGAGACCTTATCACTCTCTACAACTACTTGAAACACTGTAGAGAGGTTGGTGCTGGTCTCTTCTCACAGGTAATTAATGACAGAACGAGAGGGAACGGCTTCAAGCTCCAACTGCGGTGGTTTAGACTGAACATTAGGAAGGAATTTTTCACTGAAAGAGTGGTCGGGCATTGGAAGAGGCTGCCCAGGGAGGGGGGGGGGTCCCCATCCCTGGATGTGTTTAAGGGACGTTTAGATGTGGTGTTGGGGTATATGGTGTAGGGGAGGACTTTGTAGAGTAGGGGAGATGGTTGGATTCGATAATTCTAAGGGTCTCTTCCAACCTGAATGATTCTATGATTCTATGATTTTTGTACTGCATGTTGGAAACACCTAACTCCATGTGAGATAACGCAGCATGGAGAAAAGAGTTTACAGCACTTCAGGCCAAGATTCCCATATCCATTTTAAACGGCAGGATTTTGCACGGAACTAATAATCCGGGCAGGAGCTTGAACCTAAATCTTGAAAAAGTGCCTGGGGGTCTTTAACAGCCACAAGCTTTCACAGTTCATCTCAAATCTCAAAAGAAAGTAGGCGTTTTGATCAGCACCAGACTCAGCTGCACATTCAGCGCTCACTTAGAAAGAAAACTGCCAGCCACCTGCAGCAGCTTGTACTTGCTTAGGGAAAAACTTCTCCCGTTACCACCAGTAACTTCACCCTGGCTGGTGACCCACCACAGAATGTACAATGAGATATCAGGCAACAGAGGGGCACCTGTGAATTCATGCCATCCAGCACTGCATTTTAATTGCACTGCTGACCACTCGGCGGGTCTTAACTGGTCTGGAGTTATGTTTGCTTATCTAGGTTTCAAGGTCACGTTTGGACTCTTGCTACAGTGGAGAAATACACATGATTTCTGTTCCAAACAAAGGAAAGAAAGTGTCCAAATGAGAACATTCAGAGGCATAGCAAGCCAAAGACACTGGATCTGAGGCTGCTTTTCTTCACCCATTAACACAGAGCCCCTTGCAGTTGTCACATTGTGTACAAGCTGTTGAATTAGCTATAGTTAAATACAGGGGAATACCTCTATTACAATTTATAAAAAAAACTCCTTTAGAACTGGTGTCAAATTTAAGACTCACAGGACAGCCTGACAGCCAACTTCAAAAGCCTACAGTTAAGCAAAGCTGCTTTTTTTTTTTTTAAGCTGATTCAGAAATTCAATGTGAAGCAGAGTGGTAAGACGTGCTGCCACATGCACCAGAGATCTCAGGAAAGCAGCGAGAGACAGAATCCCTCTCAAAAGGGCAAGGAGATGCTACGAGAGTTCCAAGAGGAAGAGACGTATCTGCAGAATCAGGTGGTCTGATTTCCTCCACCGAAAGACAAGCCCAGGTCTGGAGTATCAGTGAACTTGAACCAGGAAAAGCACCATACCTGAGTTATTCTCCATAACGGTATAAATCAATTTGCAAACTCTCAGCAGCAGCATCACTTTCTTTTCAGGTGAATACATTTTCTGCATGGTCAGGAACTTGACTTTAATCTTTTCAACGTCTACAAAGTCTGGTGTTGGAACAAACACGCCCAGTTCCTGAGGATTCCTCTGCCGTACCAACTGCAGGTTTTCCTTTAGCTGTTTCCAGGAACCATCCGCAGTATGAAACTCTTTCAACATCGCTTCAATGTGGCCCTTCAGTGGCTTCAGAATGCACTTGTGCATGGCCTTCTCCAGGACAACATCTGCAACGGGAAAACACAAGTCCAGCTGACTTCCTCCTCTAGAGCAAGAGCCAGTATTAATATAACCATTCCCAAAAGAGACACTGTAGAGCAAAACCTACTTGCTAAAGCTTATTTATTATACAAGCTGAATTGCCAGATGTTTGTTAACAAGAAAACAAAAGGCAGAGCAGAATCTGTATTCCATTTTCATTTATGGCAATGCTGTAAATAAAAAAAAAAACAAAAACAACCAACCCACAGAGACAGACTACAGACTGTCAAAAAAAAAAAAAAAATTTATGGCAATGTTGTAAATAAAAAAAAAAACAAAAACAACCAACCCACAGAGACAGACTACAGACTGTCAAAAAAAAAAAAAAATCAAGCTGTGGCTCCAGTTAATTTTTTCTTTTGTTGGCAAGAAGTCTGAGTTTTAATTTTACTTTGAGCTTAGACTTTAACTCCCAAACTTACAAGTAAAACACAGTCAAAAGCATAACTTTTGTCTGTTTTGGCACGAAAGCCCATCCTTTCTGCATAGTTTCCATCAGAAACTATAACTCAACCACGGACTCCTAAAACTTGGCTCAACTTCGTCAAGATCTTTATGAAGTTGGACAGATTATGGGCTTCAAACTATAAATGAAAACCAAGCTGTGTTTGTCCAGCTTCGGATTTCATCATGCAAGCTTATATACAGCTTTGTCATCAAGTTTGAAGTTCTTTGTTTGGCAATAGCGTGCACGTGGCACAGTAACCACTAACTTAGGGATTTTTTATTATTCTTGTTCTACTCAAGCTTTTTTTTAACAGTCATTCTCTACTTTCAAAGTATGGACCACATCAACAGAGAAAGCTCTTCACTAAACGTTATCTCTGTGAACCTTTACTTTAATAAACTAATATCCTCTCCCGCTCAGCATACCTATGGCAACACAGCTTACATTAATTAATTAGCTAACCTAAATTATTTGTACCACAGTGAACTCCCACAAGCACAAAAGAACCTGGGGACCCTTCAGCCTGGCCACTGCACCAAAACACTAGCTGCTGTGCCAGTGGGGCAGGACCAGAGCCTAGAGCAGGTAGATGTGGTAGGGGAGCACAGGAACCAAGAGCAGAACGAGGTAGAAGCTGTGTCACTGCTAGATCAAAGGTTTATACAAGCTAGCAGTGGACATTCCTGCTATTAGTGGTGACTCGTTAAAGTTTCATTAAACTTCATGCCCTTTCCAGGTTCTTTCCCTGTTCTCATGTGTTTTTTAGACCAAAGTCTCTTTCTCCCCTTCCAATTCACCCCCCCTTGCCTTTTTTTCCTGTTTTCAAATTGCAGACTATTTCTAAAGCTTAGGATTTACACACACACTCCCCCCAAACAAGCATTACCTACTTCTGTTTTCTTGCTTTTACTTTATGCTTTCATTTATTTTATCCTTGTGTTCAGCCATTGTTCCTTTGGGGGTCTTCATACCTCTCTCTCCCACACAAACACACCCTTCACACACTTCTCTTGTGGTGCTTTTGCTTCACATGTAGCATTTATTCTGCATTTGACATGCAATTCCCAAACGTCCAACTCTCTTGGGAGGTCCCATCCTCCCCATCCCAATTCTGCTAGGGCTTCTGTAGCTTCTCTTGCTATTTTCCCCTCCCGAGACACTGATGGAGGGATGGCAAAGCCAGTGTCTGCGTCATTCCCAGATGCCTTAAACACATCTGGGCTCTCTCTCACAACAGGGATTGCGAAAGCTGCTGGAAGGGAGAAAGAGTGAACGTGAGGGAGGAGCAGCATTTGCCCTTTGATTTTCTAGATTTCCCTATGGCCACCAGTAAAGGTATAACCAGTCCGACACGTGTTCTTGCTGGCCTGTCACCCAGCAAGAAGGGTGGATCTAGCTTCCCACTGGACCAAAGCCACCAATTATACCTAACGAGTGGCAACATTTCAAATGACTGATGATCCTTATCTATTGCACTTGGTAAAGCCACAAAATGGCCACTACCAGCAGTTCCAAACTCAGTCAGGAAAGCAGAAGCATCACCCTTGTGTGCAGGGACAGGAACTGCCTCTCTCTGCCATCAAATCCATCCTCAGGGCTCAAGGGGCAGAAATACTTTTCCACCAAGAAAAATGCACAAATCTCACCCATGGCTATGTTAGCTGGCTAAATATCTAGAGGGTACAAATAGTTTCATTTTTTTTTAAAATAGCAAAAACACTAACTGTTTTGCTTGTGAGTGGAACACCTCTGCAGTTTGCATTCCAACCGCCTGGTCAAAATTAAAGCAGCCAGTGCTGCCAAACGTCACGTTAAATGAGAGAACTCTCTATCCCCAATTTTATCTCCCACAGGCTTCCACTGGAAGTTCTGCACATCAATAGCTAGCGTCAGACATCCATCCTTCATCTCAACAAAGCGGGGTCACCACCACCATTTGGCCACAGGAGGCTCAATAAATTGTAAAGAACTCAGCGCGGATCCTCAGAGCCCTTGGTTTGATAGTGAGGGAGCTTCTAGCATGGGATGGGAGGTGGGAAAACTCAGTATGCTTTTATGACTGATCCCCTACAGGCTCCAGGCTGGAGAAGGTTCAGCTGCTGCCTGCATGGAGGGAGCTGCAGGAGCAGTCCCTCCCGAGAGGCTACAGGAACCAGAAGGAAAATTCCTCCACAAAACCCAAGTCCTCAGTTGGGTCAAGGTTGGTATCTGTAGGTAAGAAGTGGAAGCTGTAAGGTCTTCTGACTTCAACCCTTAGGAAGTATCACTCTCACAACTCTCTGTGCAGATCATAGAATGGTTTGGGTTGATGGGGACCTTTAAAGATCATCCAGTTCCAACCCCCCTGCCCTGGGCAGGGACACCTCGCACCAGACCAGGTTGCTCCAAGCCCCATCCAGCCTGGCCTTGAACCAGGTTGCAGATGAATCACACAGAGTTTTGTGGCTGTGCAAGATGGCAAGGAGGTGTTCTTTCATATTTGCAATTTGTCACAGGCTCCAAAAGCCGCCTCTGGAAGTTGATTTGAAGTTTACTCGATCACATTCCACAATTCCACAACTTGAATTGATTTGAAACAGCACAGAGGAAGAGAGCAGGTACCTCCTGTGGCTGCGCTCAAAGCTCCACATGGGGTCCAGGTACTAATTGCTGAAGGCTGTGCCTAATGGTTTCTGTGCTGTTAATGTGATCAGGTAAATAAAAATAAGGAGATTTAGTAAGCATCCTTCAGTGCTGTCCAGTGACTATAGTACAGCTAATAGGAGACCAATGAAATAAAGGACATAGAGCTGTGATCCTAAAGGGATATAAACTGCCTTGGCTTGGGAAGGGTAGACTGAAAGAAGCTGTCGTTTTAATGCAGCACCTTTCCAGCAAACGAGGAAGTGACTAAAATACGACAGTGTATCCAAGATTTTTGTTGTTCTTGTTGTTTTAAACCAAAAAAAAACCAAAGAAAGTCCAAACAAACAAAGAAAAAGCGACCAAAAAAAACCACCAAACCAACTCAAAAAACCACACAACCTTTCTATCTCCCAGAACCACGGAGTTCTGCCCTCAAATTAAAAATTGGCAAATTCTAGGAAGCTGATGAGGCCAACAACATAGCAAAATTGATAAGGACTGGACTTCTTTTTAAATAGTCAATAATAAAACCCAGATGTATCCTAATTAATATAAAACCTATATGAATATTTATATTATTAAAGCCTGGAAGGAGAGCATTTCTTGTGATCTGGGTCTTAGACCAATACTCAGGCTCACAAGCCACCTAGAAAAGCATGTTTGGGATCAGACCATCCAACTATTTACCTGTTCTTCTGAACTGCTGTTACTCGATACGATCCCAGAAAACAATTCCCAGCCAGCAGCAGTTTTTACTGTTTAACTTCTAATGGCCACAAAAAAAAAAAAGAAAGAAAAAAAGAGAAAAGTATAGGAGGGTCTCCCAGGCAAATGAGCATTTAAGTTGTGATTTGAAGACTGATCCCTTGCATTAACATCTCTGTGTATTTCTCAGATCCAAAGGGGCAACAAAAGTCCTGTTTACTTCAGGATAAGCATGGTGTTTCCAAGTATGCTCCCAGAAGGCTTAATACTCCAAAACCAAGACAGACACTCCTTAGATTTTTTTAATTTTTTTTTAAATTGAGTATCACTTGAGCTGAGGGCCGTGTAGCGTTCCTGAAACGATACTTATAATTAGCCTCTAGCCTCAAAATGGGAACTGGAAATGCTTTGATAAATGAATTGTAAAAGGCCAGCCAGCTAGTTTCGTTGTGACTTGTGGAAACACATCTGTATCCTGTGCTGACATGCTATTTTGTTTTGCTGCAAAAACCACACGAGTCTGCATCCAGAGAGGACAACACATTAGTCATCCCGAGTGTCCTCGCGCAGCCTCTTTACAACCCTCTCTGCCTGAAATCTCACTTTTTCCAGGCCGTCGGTTACCTCTTACCAACTCTTGCTGCTTCACCAAGATCGTCCGTCAGATCCAGTCTCTGGATTTACACGCAAGGCCTGTTCAGCATCTACAGCAGCCAAAGCAGCCATCAGCAGAAGAAGGGCTCAGTACGAGACTGAGAGGGTCTGAGAACCATTACAGAAAGGCTCAGTCCCACAAAAGTAGCATCACCTGGGACGCTGAAAGCAGAAGGTTGCTTTGGAACACCACAACTTGCACGTGCAGGACACCTGACTACACTACATTTACTTTGTCCTGGATTTTCCTAAAATTTTGCACTTTCATAGACTGGAATGACTGAGACAGGTCTATTTTAAGATACCTCACGTCAGGATGGCCAAGTGTCCAGAGTTCTTGGTGGACATCTACAGTACCAGAATCACATGGGGTTGGAAGGGCCCTCTGGAGATCATCTAGTCCAACCCCAAGCCAAAGCAGGTCCACCCAGAGCAGGTTGCACAGGAATGTGTCCAGGCGGGGTTTGAATGTCTCCATAGAAGGAGACTCCACCACCTCCCTGGGCAGCCTCTGCCAGGGCTCTGCCACCCTCAAAGTGAAGAAGTTCCTCCTCATGTTTAGGTGGAACTTCTTCTATTCAAGTTGGTGACCATTTCCACTTGTCCTATCCCTGGGCACCATGGAAAAAAGATCGGCCCTATCCTCTTGACACCCTCCCTTTAAGTATTTATAAACATTGATCAGATCCCCCCTCAGTCTTCTCTAGACTAAAAAGACCCAAGTCCCTCAGCCTCTCCTCATAAGGGAAATGCTCCATGACACATGCCTAGGCCACGGTGCAGGTAAGAGCATCTCCTCTGATGGAGTAAGACTTGAAAGGAAGAACTCACACAACCCACACTCCTTGATCCACACAACCCAACAGAGGTGGGACTGAGGTGGGCGATGGATAGGCAGTGGTGGCAGAAGTTGAGCAACAAGGGAAGAAAGGTCTCCAGGGTAAACCTCCCCTCACTTACCTACACAAAGCACACCAACAAATCATAGAACTACCTGTGCTAGGTCTGTTTTGCTTTAATCAAGATGTGGGTTAAGGAAAACTCATGCTATGGCTGTGTGGTAAACACATGCCTCCTCCTAAAGAGCAAATAATAAAGGAGCAGAGAATAAGTCACAAGGCAAACCAAAGGGGTGGCTGGAAAATGGAGAACCAAATCCTCTGCCCTGCTCAGAGTTTTTACCACTGCTTCTTACTTGCCCCGTCCTCTGGCTCCCATAGTGAAAGGAGGGGCACTGAAGCACGCGTGGTTGACCTCAACTCAACATGAAAAGATACTGGGATGAACGACAGGGTAGGAGCATGGGACGTCGAAACAAATGTACAACACCTGAAAAGTAACACTGGCCACACTCTTCCCTACGCAGCCCAGGATCCCATTGGCCCTCTTGGGCACAAGGGCCCATTGCTGGCTCAAGAATAGGTTACTATTCACCAGGACCCCCAGATCCTTCTCCTCAGAAGTGCTTTCCAGCAGGTCCACCCCTAACCTATATTGGTGCCTTTCCCCCCAGGGGCAGGACCCTCCACTTGCCTTTATTGAACCTCATTAGGTTCCTCTCTGCCCAGCTCTCCAGCCTGTCCAGGTCGTGCTGGATGGCAGCACAGTCCTCTGGAGCGTCACCCATCCCTCCCAGTTTGGTATCATCAGCCAACTTGCTGAGGATTTACTCTGTCCCCTCGTCCAGGTCATTGATGAATACGTTGAACAGGACTGGGCCGAGTATTGACCCCTGGGGGATACCGCTGGTTAACAGGCCTCCAACTTGACCCTACTCCAAATCTCAGAAGACCCAAAATCTCACAAGGAGGAAAGTAAAACATCGCCTCTCATCAGGAGGAAATGGTTTCCTCTCCAAGAAGCCTCCCTCAGAGTGGCTGGCACATCGGCTCCCACAGGGAAGGGACTACACTCCTCTGTACAGCCTCCAGCCCCGTCTGCCCAAGACTCCTCTACGTGGACCCAAGTCCCTGTGACAAGGCATGTCCTGCCAGCGAGGGGCCAACACATTCTCTCTCCAAGCCTCTTTTAACGTTCAACATTTAAAAATCCATTATGCATTAGAAATACCAAAACCAAAAACCAGGCGGTATTGGTTCAGCACCTTCCCAAACGATCAGTGAACACCCTATCGCCAAATTATTTGAACAGGTCCCTTCTTGGGCTAGGCCCCCATTCATGCATTGAGTTGTTCAGGTGTTAGATCCCTCCTGGTGATCACCTGGTGAAGCAATGACGGTCAACCTGACTCCTTTCTGTCCACAGACAAGAAAAGAGAAAATACAAACAAAACCTCCCAAACATTTGCTGTTCAAGCAGCTGTGGACTATCAGGGTCTCTTCTGACCAGTCCAGGTGTGGAAGACTTTTAAAGAAGTACTTTGCATTCATCCTTAAGCAATAAAAAGCCACGTGCCTTGACCTTGATTCTGTCCCAACACTGGGAATCCCATTGTTTCAGGAAGGGTTAACAGCCTACAGCCTAATATTAGGAGGCACCTGTCGGGAATAATTAGAAATCACATTCTCCCAATGATTTGGCAGAAGTTAAACAATTTGATACATCCCCTGTCCAGGAAACTTAAGAGATCTCCCACATCTGGGGAGGTTGGACTAGATGACTTTCAAAGGTCCATTCCAACTCAAACTGCTGAATGACTCTACAAAGTCTTTTGCTTGCAAGAGCCTGGGAAGTCCATGATACAGTTCTACAAGAAAAGCTACACCATCACAACAATCATTACACAGATGCAGGAGAAAGTCCCAAACACCAAGGGCTTCACTAAGCCTCAGGGGGTGCTTTTCTGGCACTCAAAATTCAGGAGACAAAGCTGGGATAAGGTGAAGTCTGGCTGCCCTGGAACAGGCGACCAGCAGCAGCAGTTCTGCTGGGTGGAAGGAGGAGGTGAGGACTGGCTCCAGCTCCTCTCCATAAAGGCAGGACCAGCCCAGGGAGCTGAGAGACCCAAACATTTTCTGCTGCAGGCTTCCCCCCTGCTCCATTGACATGGTCTGAGGCTACTGCTGGGCAAGGGTGTCCGGTGCTTCCTCCTGAGAGTCCCTGGCAGGGGACAGCCACTGTGTCCAGCTCCAACTTGGCCACCACCAGGTCCGACCAGAGCCTCTGACACTGACTCGCCACCGCTGTGGGACAGTACACGAGAAACAGAAAAGCATATTTTTCTCAGCAGCACACATCCAGCCCCAGGCTGACATGTTGAGAGGAAAAACCTGCGCTGCAAAAGCGCAAACCGACAAGAGAGGATAAATGACTACTCGAAGTTAAAATTCAGGCTGCAATTCCATAATGAAATAGTCAAGCAAAATTGCGGATAATAGGCAGGGCTACATCATAAAAAGTTCTCTATAGGGATGACTAAATCGTGCTGTCACATAGTTATCTGCTTAAATCAGCAACATCTGATGCTCCTGATCCACTGCGGTTGTTTGCAGACTCAAGCAGTAGATGATTCAAAAGCAAGTTCTCCCTTTGTTAAAACTATCCCACTTTATAAATTAATTGCATTTAATCACATGATCAAAGTCAGACTCTCTGTCGCTGATGAAAACCCATGCAGTTTAGTTATTACATTTCACAGCTCACACTACTTCAAAACTACCGAAACATTTAAAAGCAGAAAGCGTTTTGCCAGTCTTCAGAGACCCAGGGTCTGATTTAAACCACACCCTTACAATAAAAAGTACAAGTCAAACCAAGCTTTCACAAAGTTAGAAGCAAACCAGATCTGTGTTTCTTTGTCAAATATCCAGCACTCTGCAGAAATCCAGGCGAAAAAGCGCCTGCACCACCGCTCAATCCGCCGTTTTGTCTTCCACATAACGCCCACATAATAGTCTTTATTATTCTAGTGAGGACATGACACGTCTTTGAAAGAGTCTCAATTTCAAGGACACTCTTCGGAGTGTTTTATTTGCTTTAGCAGCCCTTGTTACTTTTGCTTGACTTTGTGTAAATGAAGCTGAAGTTATGCGAGAATACTTCCTCTTGTTCAAGGACAGAAATGTCAACATAAAAATCACCCTCTGCTCCCAGAGAAAGAACTGCCTGCCAATTTTGTACTGGGCCAACTGTTGGGACGCTGGAGTACAGGAGAAAAACAAGCAAATGAGGACTGAAGTGAGCTCACAAGGAAAGTATTCTGCCCTGAGGGATGTTTACCTCCTAAATGCGGCTTATAGGCTCTTTTACAAATACTGCTCAGACTCAGCAAGATAGAGGGGCAGTGAGATTATATGCAGCAACAATGATTTCACTTTTGTGGGTACACAAGTCTCTCTCTGTTGTTAAAACATGTATTCAAACTTATAGCTCATCTGCAACCATTTATAAACATGCACATGTAACAGAGGGTATAGAAATCCTGAGACTAGCAGCCCCTTCTCTCTCTTGCACACATTTGTTTGGGTTTTTTAAAACTCTTACAGATCTTTTTATTTAGCTTCAAGTGCAGCTTTGCTAAGAGTGAATGAGAATATTTGCAAGAATGAGATTTATTTCAAAATTAAGTTGCTACGAAGCGTGTCTCTGCTGTTAACTGTCACTAGATTTGAATAAATTCTAGTTTTACAATTACAATCCATGTGGTTAAAACTGGCACAGTTTTGGTCCGAGCATTGAGAACCATTTCAGCCCAATTCACAGAAAAATACATGTGCGCCAGCAAATAAAGGATTCCATATTATTAATAGAGCAGCAGCTAAAAAAAGGAAAAGGTCATAATCACAAGTAAAAAGTCCACATTGCAGCTATTTTAATAATAATTTTTTTTACGAACAACTTTGTAGCACAGTTCTTCCAAGTTGCCAGGGTGATTGGAGGCAGGGGGTGTGTGTGTGGGGGGGGTGGTGGTTTTGTTTTAAGACCCAAACACTCCAATGGCTCGAATTCTTCTAGCAAAGTCAACCCCATCTTTTAAAACTGGCAGAAAGACCATCACAATAAACACTGAATATGCATTTTCACCTTTCCCCAAAACACCAGACAGTGTTTCTTACCTATTTGGTCCTCTGGAATCAGCGATTCGATTGGGGGATCAAGTTCGGAGCTTTGGGACAAATAGTTCTTGACTTGGGTCATGAACTGCCGAATCGTTTGCAGCATGTCAGTGCTTGAAACATGGCACTCCTTGTTTTCCTGGAGAAAGCTGATATAGTCCTGGACTAGGCATCCAAAATAAGTGCGTTTGTCCCGGGACATCTCCGCAATTTTCTTAATCATCCTCTTTTCGGGGGTCATGAAGGAACTGAAAACTCCACTGACTTTCCGCAGCTGAGATTTCACAATCTTGGGGAGAACAAACGAACTGTTTCTTTTCTTCTTGGGTTTCAAGGGGGGTGCCATGCTCTCTTGGTCGCTTTCCCCCTCAAAATCCTCCAGGCTGCTGTTGGTGTCCCCCTCATAGCCGAAGAGCGGCATGCTCCGATCGAAGTCCAGCGAGTCGGAGGAGGAGGTGGAAATGCTCATGTCGCTCAGCCTCTGCCTGCCTCCATTCCACGGGACGTGTGACTCAGAGCTGCTGGGAGCTGCCGTCTTTTTGGCGGCTGCCGGAGCCGGCTCGGGCAGGGCTGCTTCACCTGGAACGCCGGGGGCTTCAGGCGCAGGCAGGGAGCCGCCACCGCCGGGCCGAGTCACCGCCGGGGCCTTTGAGCTTCCACCTTCCACCTCCGAGCAAACAGCCTGCTTCTTCAGCCGAGGAGGAGGAATGGGGGCTGGTTTATTCCGCAGCAAATCCAAACCTCTCTCTTTCTTATGGTTGACCGTTTCTGGCATGCTCGCCTGTTTTATAGTCCTGGAAAGCTGCGGACTCGTCAGGGTGCTATTAATAGAAGGAGGTGGCGGCCGGGGTGGGGGGGAGCGAGGCCTGGCCGTGCCATTCACGTCTTGAGTTCTGGGGCTCTGCCTTTTCAGACTTCCACTGACATCCTGGCTGTGCACTTTTAAGAAGAGAGGATTAATGAAGCAGAGCGCTCCGTTGGTCTGGCTGCACTCCAGCTCCGAAGGCGTTCTGGTTCGTATAGAATGCACTCCATTTATAAGGCAGAGCTGACGGGAGTCTTTACAAGAGCTATGCAAAGGCCCAGGCTTATGGGGAGGTGAAGAATGCGGGGGGCTGCTGTTAGCTGGGGAGCTCCAAAAGTCTGAAAAAAAAAATATATATATATATATATATATAAAAAAATGAACAGCCAAGTAGCGAAGCTTTTGAGGACAACCCCTGTGCAGCTGGGAGATGGAAAAGGGATTTTTCGGGTGAGCAAAGGGCTCTGCTGTATATATATAAAAAATCATCATTACCTTAACATAAGAATGCAAAACGGCACGCAGATGGCTTTCAGAACATTCAGCTGAACATCACCAGTTTCAAGACTTTTAGACAAGCTTTTATTAATTCAAGGCGGGGGGGGGGGGGGGAGAAAAAACACTCCAAGTGAACCTCTTTAAAGCACCACCAGGCATAACTGCATGCTACACTCCTGGGGCTTCTCTTTCTCATTTATAAATATCACGACCAACGCATAGCTTCAAATCAGCACGCTGAGCTCAGCTTAAAAATAAACTGAGAACGAAAGAAAGGAATGGAGACTGTAACCCAGTAATTCTTACCAACTTGAGACTGAAATGAATGTAAACTACTCCCCTAGCTTCCCACTGGGGAGAAATAAAGCCTAGATTCTCAGCTGGTATTAATAAGCTCATTCCATTAGAGACAACAGTTAGGCTGATTTATACCAGCTGATGGCCACTTATAGCAACTCAACAAAAATTGTAGTTTGGTTTCTTCTGATAGCGAACAAATGATGCTACAGATGAGAAGACAGCTCACACTTTGCTGTGGTGTGTGCACACACAATCTTTAGCCACACAGGCCAAGTGCTCATCTCCCTTTAAGAGCCCTGGCCCGCAGCCCTGCCTTTGCAGCGGTGACACAGTTTTGCCTGAGGTTTTAGACTCTCAGCAGTGCATAAATAGATGGATTTCTGCAGCCCCACACCAGCAGTGTGGGAAATCTGTGCTAAAATCGGCAATTTTCAGCCAGCCAAATCTCTGCAACCGGCTGCAGCCTCCGCACTCGTCCCAGCAAAGCGTCAGCATCTTCCTGAAACAGAGACAGTGGTAAAGCCCAACAGCTCCTGAAGGTATGAAAATTGAAACCAGACAAGCCCTGGTATTCCAGAGGAGGGGGATTTGGCTGAAATTTGCCAGTCTTAACACGGCCTCTTTTTCTGTAGTGCCAAGACACCACATTTGGGCTGTTGAGCCGTGTCACCTGGGCCCAATTGCATGGATGTCAAGCAATCCATGAGAGGGTCCATGTCTCACAGTCACCTGTGTCGTGCCTACGGGGCAGAAGTCAGGAAATGGCTCCTGGTGATAACCTGCTGCCAGGGAACACATGTGGGCACAGACATATTTCTCTACAGAGTCACACAATGCTGCTGTTTTTGTCCTGCTCCGTGACTTCACATCCTGCCTGCAGATCCCTCACCAGCCTGGCCAGCGTGCCTGGCTCACAGGCTGCTGTAAACACACACAATGTAAGCACCTCTTTGGGTGAAACACAAGAGAGACCAAGGGGGAAATCTTATGTTCAGCACGTGAAACCTTAAAGGTTGGCAATAGCCTTGGCACCTTTACCACCAGGTTCTTCCTGATGTGGTTTGCTGGGCTACATCCTGTTGACCTGCCTTGTGCAGTTCTCCCTCTGAGCCTACAGCCCACCAGAGCTCTGAAAAGAGCTACAAAACGTCCACGTTCAGGAGTTTTGTGCTTATATGTTGCTTAAGGAAAGCTCACACTCAACAGGAAGGGCCCTTGGGAGTTTAAGGCATCTCTTGGATGCACAGCGTTGAAGGGCTGACTTCCTGGTGTATTCTCTTTTGCACGTGGAAACCTAGAAGTCTATCAAAATCTAAGCTTTGTTGTCTGGTTTCTGCTCGCAGAACCTGTGATCTTAATTTGGTGTATAGAGGTAATTCATCCCAAATACACCAAACACACAGTCAGACACTGATCCATCAGTCTCCTCCTCAGCTTTAAAATGTATTGTCTTAAAGACACAACACACACAACGTAGACAAAGATTGTTCAAGAGCAAGACTAACTCTACAGCAGGCACTCCATGGTGCTCTCAGGTACTGAGGACAAAGCCAGTGTGGTTAATCTGGAAAGCTTGCTCAACACCACCACTATCATCTCCTGTGGAGAAACTCACTTAATGTTACTTTAAGGCTTCCAAGTGTCACTGGGAGATGGTCTTCACTGCACTGTATCCCAATCACACCTTCCCCCACCCTCCCCCCACCCCGTCCAAACACCTAATTAACAGTTCCATATTTGCCTTCATTCCCACGAAAATCCATACTTTTGTCTAATTACCTAAACTTGCAGATGAGCAGCACAGAAGTCATTTGTCTCCTCTCTGAAACAAGACTCTTAATTGCATCGCTACTGCAGCAAAACAAAATGCAAAGCAGTGCAATACTTCCCTGCGTATGGCTTTGCTGCAAAGTCCCAAATAGTTCTAGACAACTCATGATTTACTCTGATTTAGCACGGATCCGTTTCTAAAGCAAAGATGATTTAAAAAAAAAAAAAAAAATCTACTGGGACAAAGACTGCCACCAGTGAACCCTCCCTTCCTGCAAAAGGAAATGAGGCCATCAGCACTTTGCAGGAGTTGCTCAAGGATTCTTCTGGGTGGAGCTCACGTTTCAAACCCTTTGCCAGGCTTTGTGTCTCCTGCAAGCTCAAGGTACGTTCTACAATGAGCCCGTATTGGGTTATAGCAGCCAAGTGATGTGAGGATATGTTCTTGCATTTTCCTTTCTTATTTTAAACATTTCACCAAACCAACGCGTGTGGATACACTCTGCGGATCCTATGCACGCACTCCTTTTTTCACTGTGCTACTGCATTGAGCCACTGATCTCAAAAATCACTATTCTAAGACCACGTGTCAACCTGAACAGAAGTTTTCTTAACAGTGAACCTCAGCTCCTGACTCTCCTGGCAACTCCAGCAAACCATCAAGCCAGTGCCTGCTACATGTGCTCGCAGCTGACATTAGTCCTCGGAGGGGAAGCGACATCAAACTAAGGATTTTAAGACTGGCTTTGGCCAAGGGCTGTACAAAGAGGGGAGAGAAGGAGGAAGGAAGGAAGCAGCACTAACAAAAATATCACAGAAGGCACAGAAGGAAGGAAGAGCCCCAAGGTCACCATTTGGCAAGTACAAGATTTGGCCTTCCCAACAGGAGAAGCTGCTTTTCTAAATGAAACCTATATCATCACTGATCAATATGAACTATTTACTGATGCAGGCTATTTCTTCAAGCTTTTAGCAACACTTCATCTATGTAGAGATCTACTTACTCAGTCCAAGCTGAGCAATCTCTTCAAGCTCAGCTTCTGTCTTTGCTGCAGCGATAGCATGAGGCAACTTCAGGGTGAATGGAAGGACATCCCTGTTGTTAAAAAGAAAAGCAATTACAGTTTTCATGACAACATGCATAGTTTTAAAAGCATTTGTTTTCAACACTGGCAGTAGCTGAGCTCTGATTCTTATTTTCTTCTGGAGCTGTGGCAGGTAGCAAGAGCCTTAAACACATGGCACACAGTGAAGCATTCAAACCCCAGGCCTCCTCTACATTGGAAGGTGGTGTGAAGTGCAAATGCCAGTCAAGTCCCCAGGACTCTCTTTAGGCTCATTTTCCACAATATTTTCTCTCATTACATCAGCAGCTTTTACATCTGCTCTTTTACAAGCATACCAGTGAGATGCAGAAATGCTATCTGCCCCTAACCTTTCAACAAAGCTTCTTATTTTCTGAATATACTGTTGCTTGCTCTTGAAGTTCAATTTCAATTCTCAGAATAAAAATTTAAATGAGTACTTGGGCAGCTACCCTAAAAATTTCGAAGTTGGGATGTTTTGGTGCTACTCTGCCCAAGGCTAAAAACATACTTCATTTAAGAAAGTCTTCATAATTTATTCTCATATGTGGTTTCTCTTCACTGCATACTAGAAGTTCAATACATGGTTACAAAGGGAGATGCATAAATGCAGGAACAACAATATACACCAAATCCAGTCTTAAAAGCTTTTACACAAAGATTTTAAGGGCCAAAACTACTTAACCACTTGTACATTGTATGAGTACTACCATCAACCAGTACTATACCTCTTTCCTGCCCAGTTGGTACTGATACACCCTCAAACAACAGTGCATGCTAAACTGCAAAATCTGTAGAAGTATCTGTGTAATTAAGAGTAAATAAGAACAAATGGAGCATAGGAATCTTACGCACAACCGGTATCATTTTTATTTTATTTTTAAGGTTGTGAACAAGCCAACCATCTGTCGTAGCACAGACAGCTAGTGGGATTTTCTCTCAAATATTCTCTATGTTGTATGTTAACTTGTTGAAAAAAAACACCACTCAAATTCAAGTCTTTCAACATTATGCCACAGATGATCTAGACTCTAGAACATCATGGATGCAGTACAAAGATAGATAAACCTTGACTCCTTACTCAAACTGACTGGATACCTATTACAAGAGATTCCCTCTGCTTTTAGGAAATCTTCCTGGTTTTACTGTGCTGTACCAAATGGTACTCTCAGGATAACTGCTTCTTTAAATAGTCTATACATTCTCCTCTCGCACCCCCAGCTAGACTGCTGCCTGAAGGCGACAAGGAAGCTGGGTAGATGCTGCCACTTAAAAAAAAACATTAGGCAACCAGAAACACTTAGGATGTTTCTCAACCAAATGGGGAAATAAGCATCTGCTTCCAAAAGCACACCCACAAAGAAGTGAGCTTCATTTACTAAAATCTCCAGACAGGTTTGCAGCTGAAGTTGTCTTTATTACTGATAGCTGTGGATGGGTTTGCAGCTAAAGCTGGGTTTAAGAAGATGCACTAGGAAAGCTTTAACACCATGTCTAAATTGTGATGCCCACTCTTTTCACTTCCTTCCCCTTCCTCAAAGGGCAAGAAGAAGAACAGAATGATAAACGGGTGACGAGCAGTTTGTATGTGCTTTCTGAATGGGAGACATGACCCCATGAGGACACTGAACCGGGCTGACCAAAATACAATTAACAAGATTAAAACCACTTCGCAGAGAGAGGCTCTCAGTTACCAGACTCGTGAACAAGACGACATGCTACTGTGTGTTTGTGGGCTTACTAGTAGCAAGTGTGAAGCAATTTGGAGCCTTCAACAAAAGAAAAGAAATAAACTAGTGCAAATAAATCTGCCCTTGCTGCATGCTCCCTGTAGGCCCTTAAAGTGAATTTTCCAGAGCCTAGCTAGTGCACAGAACTGAAAGGGTGATAAGGTAAGGGATCTCTCATCATTAAATTGCTTTTAAATGCAGTTTCAGCTCATTTCAACTCATGAGTGCTGACCCATTACTTATGTGGTATAAACACTTCTTCCATCACAGGCATGTAGAGCTTAGCAAAATGGAGGCCTCTAACAAAGGAGATCTAGGTGCTTCTCCACCACAAACAAAAACATTAAGTACAGCAACCTCAGTGCATCCCTAGTGAGCGTTTCCCACACCAGAAATTGCTGCTGTCAGCACTAACTGGCAACCTCGCTGCAGTAAAAGAACCAAGACTAAGAGTTGCCTCTCCCCCATTCCTTCAGAAAACGTGCAGGTGTGTGGTGTGGCCATGTCCTGCCTGTGGATATATGTAAGGCTTAAGCATCAGTCTGGAAATTTTTACCAGTAAACTAAAGTCAAATTCAAAACAACCTAAAAGATAAAAAGCACAGACTATTTTTTCTCTGCATACCACCTGGAAAACAAGTAGGGCAGCCATAAACTAGAAATCTGATGAGGCAGTTTTCTTTGTTCACAATTTATGTTCACATCTCAGCTGTCATATTCTACATCGGGATCTGACATTTTTTCCTTATGTGCCAAAAATGCTTTTCACTAGCAATTCTGAGAAGTGGACATTGCAAGATCATAGAATGGTCAGAGTTGGAAGGGACCTTAAAGATCATCCAGCTCCAGCCCCCCTGCCCTGGGCAGGGACACCTCCCACTAGAGCAGGTTGCTCCAAGCCCCATCCAGCCTGGCCTTAAACACTTCCAGGGATGGGGCAACCACAGCTTCCCATAAGATAGCTTATGGTGCTTATTAAATGAGTTACAGAGTGGTTAAGAAAGAATTACAAGACACCAGCTAAAGTAAAGTTCAATTTGGCAAGACCTCATGGCTGGGTGGGTAACATGACAACAACCCTCTGATAATCAGCACCAAATAAGACAGAGGGAGAACTTGCTTCCAGTTCTCATCTCTTATTTCTCCCATTACCTTCTAAGACTACCCAGGAATATTTGTAGATTAACAATATAAAAGTCCTTGAGATTCTTTTTTTCCCCAAGACATTCTAGCAAACGCGACTCGGAAGGTAACACCATCTTACCTGCTAATACAGTAGAAAGCAATGAGCCTGAATAAATCAGCAAAACTTATTCCAGACCCCTCCAAGGAAAACGCTGCGAATAAAGTTACAAGAGGGAAACAATCACACATCTATCCGCCATTTCTTAAAAATGCTTAATAAAACACTTCTCAGATTTTTTGCATAAAATTCATAAGTTTGCACCATCAGACTAACTACTGGTTGGTTAAGAGAAAACAACTGTGTGGAGGAGTACGTGTCTCTGCTAAAGGCATTTTCAAGAATATACCAATAGTCTTGGTAGTGGTTTTGTTTTTGTTTTCCAAACATATGGTCTAATTCCTGGGAACCAGATTAAATATGATCAGAATTGCACAATGTTTTGCTAATAGACAGTAAATCAATAACTGAGGCGTTGTTTGCCCCGGGTACTAATATACCTAATTTTAAATCTCCTATTTCCATCCTACTCACTTGTTTTCTCATCCAGATGTGTTAGCGCCTAAATGGGAGATGCTAAATTCTCACTCAAAAAAAACAACCCACAAACATTTAACAACAAACCTCAAGACAATTCTGCTTCTTGCCACTTTACATAGTGGAAGAGGAAGACACATGCTATGCCTTTCATTTTTTTACCACTCCATACCATTGTTTCTTATTGATATAAATACTTGGTTGTGTAATAATGACATAGAAGTGATTGTCACTTCACTTATGTTAAGCTTGCTCTGATTCCAGTGGCAAATCTTACCCAATGACTACAAAGATCAAAAGCAGAAGAGGCTCCCAGAGTGAAATGATCTACATCTTTTGCCTCTGGATGTGACTGAGACCAGATTAGAAGGGAGAGCAGTTATAAAATATAACGGTAGCACAGACAGGTTCCTGGAGTACACGAACACCCATCTCTTGCAGTCCCAGACAACTTCTACAAAGGGGTGAATGTGAAGTCTGCGATTGCTTCAGCCCACCCCAGAGTTAGAAAAGCCAGATCACGGGGGTGAATCTCTGGCTGGTGTGATGTGCACACTGTCGTGGTTTCACTAGTAGAGAACCACCTTTGAAATTCATCTCCCAAGGAGAGTACTTCCACTGCTGCTCCAGACATCTGGCTGAAACCAAGCAGACTCCCAGGCTTGGTGGGGAAAGCCAAAAGCCACACAGCAGCTTTGGATACCTCAGCAACGCCTCCCCACGAGTAGTGAGAGTGTAATTTTTGGTCTTCCATGCTGCAAGACCAGCTTCCCCCCAACCAAGGTTCCAGTGCTACTGACTATAAAGCCTGCATGTGAACCAGAAGAAAACTTAAGTCAGGTACCGATCTTTTATCCAACCCTTGCGCAGGAAGACAGATCAACCTGGTCTTTTATGTGCCTGGAAAAAGGGATTTCTTTAAGAGAGACACTAATAATGCAGACAGTAAGCAGGTGATGTAGGAGCAGGCTAAGAGAAGATGAGTCTTCAGATCCCTGACTACAACTAAACCTCAGCTATGACTGGTGAGTAAAACCATCAGTAGATACTTCCCCCTTGTGGTAAAGTTTTATTCATGAAACCCAATGTATTATTATTTTATATTCTAAGATGGGAGAGGGAATTCATTTGTACAAAGAGCCTACAAACACAGCCTTACATCACACTTAGATCAACTTGTCCTTGATAGCTTTCTCTTCTCTTTGCCATGCCTTGTTTGTAACTGGAACCAAAACTGGACACACAGAATTAATTTTTAGTTGCCGGGGGCAGAGAAGGGAAAGGTAAAAAGGAAAAAACTCAAATAAAATTATCTCCATTTACTAAGAGAAACAGAATTTAACTACAGACACTCTGATTTAACTAATATCGTTGCTGATTTTCTCCAGTTTTGGGAGATGGGACCCACCTGTTTCGAAGAGACAAGGGAATCTTTGGCAGTGGGCTGGCCAACTTTGTGAGACAGGCTTTAAACTAAGCGACCTGAGGGGTAGGTTCCAAAGTGGCAATGATCATGCCACTGCAACCACCTGGGGAATAAGCCAGGCCAACCTGAGCAGCAACAAATGTTCCTTAGTTGCCTTCCAAGAAGTGAATTGGAAGAACAACCACCTCAACAGTATGTACATCAATGCATACAGCCTGGGGAACAAACAGGAGAAACTGGAGCTCTACGCCCAGTCAGAAAGTTATGATATCGTAGGAATAACTGAAATGTGGTGGGACAACTCACATGACTAGATGATCACCATGGACGGCTACAGACTGTTTCATAAAGGCCAGCAGGGAAGAAGAGGAGGGGAGTCATTGTGCTCTACATTAAGAAGAGCCTTGAATGCATAGAAGTCAACTACAGTGATTGTGGAAGCCCTATTGAATGCTTCTGGTTCAAGATCAGGGGGTTCAACTCCAAGGGGGATCTTACAGTAGGCATGTGCTACCAATCTCCAAACCAAGAGACGAAGGCCAATGAAGCAACATTTGGATCACTTAAGCAAGCTTCAAGGCAACAGAACCTGGTTCTCGTGGGTGATTTCAACTACCCAGACATTTGTTGGAAGAACAAGGTGGCAGCTCACAGTTCCTGGGACACATAGAGGACTGCTTCCTCATACAAATATCAGGTGTGCCAAGCAGGAATGAGGCACAGCTGGACTTGCTACTCCTGAACCAAGAAAACCTGCTTTGTAACATGTCCGTTAGTGATAGCCTTGGCTGCAGCAATCACAATATTGTGGAATTTGGGATCCTGGTGAGCACGCTGAAGGTTAGTACAAAGACAAACTTTTTAGATTTCAGAAAAGCAAACTTCAGTTTGCTCCTCTCGGTTGGGAGGGATTCTGTGGGAAGCTTCCATGGAGGATAAAGGAGTTGGCGAGTGCTGGGAGTTTTTCAAGAACAGTCTCCTGGAAGCACAAAAACAGATAATCCCCTTTAAAGGTAAAGGAAGTAGATGGAGCAAGAGACCCCTTGGCTTAACCGTGAGCTTCTGAGCCTGCTCAAAACCAAAAGAGAAGCGTACCAGAGAAAGAAAAGCAGACCCATTGAGAACTACAAAGGCATTGACAGGGCGTGCAAAGATGCAGTTAGAAAAACAAAAGTTAAATTGAAATTGGCCAGGGATGTCAAAAACTGCAAGAAAGGGTCCTTCAGCTACATAACAAGCAGAAACAGAAGGAAAATATTGGCCCGCTGTTAAGCGGGAGAGGTGAATTAGTCATCAACGATGCTGAAAAGACAGAGGTTTTCAACACTTTCTTCACCAGCACTGTTGGGCCCCAGGCCTTGGGAATAAAAACCCAGGATGATGCAAACACAGACCCACTGAAGTGGGGAAGGAGGAGTTGGTATGCAAATTACTACAGGAGCTTGACCCCTCCAAATTGATGGGCCCTGACACTATCCACCTGAGGGCATTAAAGAGAGCTGGCTAACATTGTTGTGAGGCTGCTCTCCACAATCTTTGAGAAGTCATGGACGGACATCCCAGAAGACTGGAAGAAGGCTAATATCACCCCCATCTACAAGAAGGGCTTAAAGGAGGATCTGGGAAATTGTAAGCCCATCAGTCTTCAGTCCCTGGGAAAGTTATGGAATGAATCCTCCTGGGAGCTGTCACAAGCCAAATGAAGTACATAATTGGGAAAAACCAGCATGGACTCACCAAGGGCAAATCGTGCTTCACAAACCTGATCACCTTCTACAACACAGTAACCTGCTCAGCTGATATGGGGCGAGCGGTGGACATCATCTACCTGGATTTCTCCAAGGCTTTTGCCGTGGTTCCCCACAGCATCCTCCTCAAGAAACTGATGTGTCACAGTCCAGAGAAGTGGTCTGTGCGGTGGGTGGGGAGCTGGCTGACAGGCTGCACCCAGAGGGTGGTGGTAAATAGATCCTTTTCAAACTGGCAACCTGTCACAAGCGGGGTCCCCCCAGGGACTGACACTGGGCCCAACGCTGTTTAATATCTTCACAAGTGATCTGAATGATGAGATCAAGTGTACCCTGATGAAGTTTGCTGATGATACCAAACCGAGTGGGGAAGTGGACGCTTCAGAAGGGAGAGCCACCCTGCAGGAAGACCTGGATAGGCTGGAAGAGTGGGGGTCTTATGAACCTTATGAAGTTCAACAAAGACATAATCCAGGAGTGCAGCACAGACTGGGATCTACCCAGCTGGGGAGCAGCTCTGTGGAAAGGGACCTGGGGGTCTGGTGGACAACAAGCTCAATATGGCTGTGGCAAAGAAAGCCAGCGGGATCCAGTGTTGCATCAACAAGGGCATCACCACCAGAGGTAAAGACATCATTATCCCACTCTACTTAGTGCTTGTCAGGCCTGCACCTGGAATATCATGTCCAGCTTTGATTCCTGCTATACAAAAGAGACATGGACAGGCTGAAGAGGGTCCAGAGAAGGGCCACCAAGATGATCAAAGGACTGGGAAGCCTGTCATATGAGCAAAGGCTGAAAGAACTGGGTTTGTTCAGCCTTGAAAAAGGAAGGCTTAGGGGAGACCCCATGTTCCAGCATTTAAAGGGTGGTTACAGGGAAGATGGAGACTCCCTTTTTACAAGGATTCACATGGAAAAGACCAGGAGTAATGGGTACAAGTTACTTCTAGAGGAATTCTGACTGGAGACAAGAGGAAAAATTTTTCCAATGAGAGCAATCAGCCACTGGAATAATCTCCCCAGGGAAGTGGTGGACTCCTCATCATTGGCCACTTTCAAGGTATGGCTGGACAGGGTGCTGGGCCACCTTTTCTAGACTGTGCTCTTGCCAAGAAAGGTTGGGCCAGGTGCTTTTTGAGGTCTCTTCCAACCTGGTATTTTGTGATTCCATGATATTTTTCACACCCTTCCTCTAAAGAGACGAGCAGAATTATTGTTTTGAAACTGACTGGAACTCTAACATTTGCTCACCTCTATTAGAAAGCAGGGAATAAATCTAGTTGGAATTAAAAAAGAAAAATCATTGCTCTCACATCATAAACAGTTCCCAAGGGTAAAAATCCTTCTAGTTATTACATTAAGAAGAGCATACCACACCCAGATTTGGAGACAGAGAGAGCTCATGAGAGAGCTGCATCCAAGAACAGTTCCCTGAGCACAAGAAAACGCAAGGTGATTTCATTGACAGCAGACAGGATTTATAGACTGTGTTTCTACAGGAGAGGTTAACTACCCATAATAATCAATGAATCCTGGATTCAGCAAGGTACATAAAATAAGTCTGTTCTGGACACAACTGGAAGACTTAAGCATTTCTGTATATCTTCCTTTCTCCAGGATGTGCCTGAGCCACTTGCAGAGTCATCCACAGACAGCATTATAGGCAGTTTGTGACACTATTTGCAAGACTTTGGGTATTTTCTGCTGTGGGTTTTACCAACACAGAGTGCTCCTGGCTCATATAGGGTGCCACGTAGCTGAAAAGTATGTAACTCACAACTTACTGTATGTGCTTTCTTTTACTGCAAATTCCTTTAGGCAGGACCCGCAGTCACTGGGCAGACGCAGGGAGATGACTTTCTTCTGCAATCTTGCAGATTTCCTAACCAGAAATATCTGTCGTGGAGAAGGCAAGAGGACATGGTTTTAGCCTCATCACACACGCCTTAAGAGAGACAGGTTATAGACAAAAGAACCAGAAAAAACATCACAATCTCCGATCTATATAAAACGTCTCAGAATTTTACTCAGTGTCAAGTTCAACAGCTTGGTGTAAAATGGCAGCAGAACACTTAGAAAAGCAAATCCCCAACCTTGAGCCAAGCTGCAGAGTCTGGAGGAGACTGAGGGTCTCCCTGTGTCCCACCAGCCCATTCACACAGTCCTTCTGCACCATGATGGAGGCAGCATCAGAAACATGCCATCAGCCTCATCCAAGCAGACAGGGCCTGGTTTCCATGGCAGCAACTTCAATGCAGGCACCATTGGATAAAGGATAAAATGCTGTCATTTCCCATTTATATTGCATTCTCATTATAGGGGAAACACACCCTAGTTAGCAAGGTCCAGCTTTGGAGGTGCAATTTCAGCAGTCTAGTTCTCAGTTCCAGAGGAACCCAAACTGGTCCCCCAACACATCAGCCCAGGTAATGGGTCACCCTCCAACTGGTCCAGCGTTCAGGAAAACCTCACTCAGATTATCCAAAGGACAGAAGAAATGGGGGTGGAATGTTGGTTTGGGTTTTTTTTTTTGTTTTTTAACACTTGTATGAAGTAAGTTGAAGTGTAACTCCTTACCCCAGGAGGCTGGGCCTGCAGAATTTCCATGGCTTCAGCATCATTCAGACCAAGCTGCAGCCACACAGGGTGAGTATGGAGGAGCTTGTCCAATATGCTTAGCTTGTTGGATAGGCTGTCATATCCAGAGTCCCGGGGGCAGCTTTTCACATCATTTTTCTCAGGAGAGACATTATCCATGTCCTTTACTAGACTGTGAAAAATTTGGAAAAAAAAAAAAAAAGAAATTAGACATGCTAACCTTCTATAAACAATCACTCAGTTCAGCAAACAGAGTTATCACAAAGCTCTGCTGGCACCCTGGACTGGTATTTCTCCTACTGAGAATTAATATAATTATTATACACAAAATGTCTCTTATCCATAAGATGTATGATTTTCTTTCACTTGTCCTCAGTTTAACAGCTGGCTTTAGGATAAGCCATAGCCTTTTCTATTAGCCTGTTGAAATTCAGCAATCACTTCAGATACAGGTGTACACACATACATTATTGACTGAACACTTCACCTCCTTTCTTTGCTCACATTTGGAAAAAACTTCTCTCTAAAGCTATTTATGCAATTCAGATATTTTTATTCCCAGACAGATTGTAAAAGCTCCAACCTACAGAAATCTTCCTCCATCCTTTCCTGAACAGAAAGATCTGTTCAATACTCTGACAACGGAGCAACCCATTACCTGTTGGCAAATCACCACACCAAACACAAGCACTTTCTGTTTGTTAATGAGTGGTCAGAGACCTCAGCCAGGAGAAATAAGAGGAGAAATAAGAGAAAAAGAAAAAAAAAAAAGGTTAAATCCCCCAAATAACCCTAAGGCACAGCTTCATTAAGAAATCATCCTAAGTGGTAGTAATTTTTTATGGTCCATACCACAAATTCTCTACTTCTTTACATTTTTGCCATTTTGCCATGAAAGGTCCTTACTTCATGTTTTAGTACTACACTTCCAGAATCAGAAGCAAGTAAGGAATTGTATATTTATGCTCCTAATTCCCTTGGATTGACTCCAGCGTGAGGAATAAAGGCTAAGTTAAGCGTGAATGTGGCAAGCCAGTGTAAGGTTAAAATTTAATTAGGGCAGGGCAGCTAAAGTTGCTGCTAAATTCAGTAATGAAGTACAGGTCTTGAAGGCTACTGATACTTGTTGTGTGCTAAAAATCCAAACAAACAGAATACTTTGAGAACTCCTTTTGTTTATGCAAAACTTTGCCATCATTCAAATAGTACGGAACACACGTGTGTTGCTGGTTCAAACTCCTCGTTTCTGAGCTAGAAGCACGTCCTGCAATTCTTCCAGTGCTAAAAAACCACTGCAGAACAGTTACTCTGGTCACAGCTTCCTGATAGAACATAGACAAAAAACCCCTGCAAGCTCAAAATTGGACTCGCTAAGGTGTCAGGCACAGAGGTTGTGTTCTCCCTACAAACTTTTTCTGATGGCAGAAGAGGTTCCTGAGCAGCAGAGGGCAACACAGCTGCGTTTCCCCACTGCAAACTGTCGGGAAGCTCTCCTGAACACTGTGTTTTGCACAGGCAGGAAGCATCCTTAACAGCCTTTACCACCTTCATCATGCCAGCTACTGTACCCAGAGCGAGGGGGTAGAAACTTCACGGGCACAGGAGCACTCGGTACTTACAAACAAACAAATAAAAATTCCACCACCTCCTCCCGCCCCCCCAAACCCAACCTCAAAACAAAACTCACCAACCAAACAACAAACAACCAAACTGGTTTTGTTTTTGTTTTTTCCTAGCTTTGGGCAGCAGCTTGCAGCATCTGTGGAAAGGGCTAGAAATGGAAAGTAAATGTGGTAGAGAACTTTCACTGCATGATCAGGTAAAAACAGGTGCAATCATTAAAACTTTTCATTATCTGGATCAATTATCACCCTGATCACCTGTGTGCCTCTCCCTTTCCGTCCTCTTTCTCTGTTTGCTTATTTATGACACGATGCCTTTTTGATTTGCAAGGCATCTAAAATGCCAGGGATCTTTCCTCCTCGAGTGTCAAAAGCTTTTCGTAACTGCCACTGTGCCTTCAAGGGACACCAAATACACAGAGAGCCGTTGGGAACAGAAGGGAAGTAGTGTTGACATCAGTTATGAACAGGTTCTGAAACCCCCCCAGCAGGAATCCTGGGTTCCCCTTTCAACTGCAACAACTCAGTGTTGCAATGTATGAATCTCCACGAAAGCCAAATCATGAATCACAAAAGCGTTTTCACGAGCTGTACCTCCAGTAAATATTGTTCAGAAACTTCCCACTCGCCTTCAGAGCCACTTAGCAATGTTACAAACCCAAGACAGCTGGGGCAAAAATGCAAGTTATACATTGACATGGGCTGAGCTGGGTAGAAATTTCCATTTCCAAGAGGTGGAAGCTACACATGTTGTAGAGGGAATGTATCTGAGAAAGAAAAATTTGTTGCCTACAAAAGAAAGTGCTGTCACGTGCAAGAAAAGGCACGTGACTGGTATCAGCTCTAAGGTCTGGCACTGCGCGTTGCCATGAAGAACCTAAAGCTGGTAAGGGTTTGCATGTGTACGTAGGGTCACAATGTTCCTCTTCTGTAAGGTTGCCAAACGCACCCAAACGGATATAAATTTGAAGATTCTGTTGAATAGGGAGCTGTCAGGTTTTTGGAACCTCCAGGTACTTGTATGCACAATCCCTCCCACGTGCTGAGATCCAAGGAGGAATGCAACGCGGGAGCCCACACCTTATTGACCTCAAAACACACGCACCTCCTTCTTGCTTCTGCTCCCTCACAAGAAATAAGCCAAAGATTATAAGTACCTCACCTTGATGAGACTTTCTGCCACTTCAAAAAAATTTATTTTCTATCCAAATAAAAGAGGCAGACAGAAAGCTCAGACCTGGTGAACTCTGGCAATGGCATCACTTGGAAAAAACCCCATATCTGGCACAGTCCATACAACCTACAAGAAGGTCCAGGAGGTAAACACAGTCAGAAGTCCATTGATCTGCTCTGACAGCCGATTTGTAATGATCTAGCCCTACCGAGCATCACAGCCTGAGTTTGGCTTTTATTTTCTTCTTAGAATTAAGAATTCTTAGAATTAATTCTTAAGAATTTTTCTTAAAAATTATTTTAATTAATGATCGGGGTGCTAAACATATATCCCTGACACATGGGAGTCCTTGAAGTTTGTCATGTCTTAGAGATGGCTGTATATTTGGGACTGAGATGTGTGTGTAACTTCTTTGTAAACAACAGCATGGAAAGAACCACCATTTGAATTCCTCACAATCACCTGATTAATTCAGATGTACAGAATAAGAACGCTAGCAAGATGTGCTACCTATTATGCACACAAATTTATCTCCTGGTTTTACTTTTGAGGGGTTTTTGTTTGGGTTCCACCCCCTACCCCC